AATCTTGATAATTAATATGTCTTAGATGCATATGTCCGATCACAACGGTATATATCTAGCACATCTGACCGAATAATTTTTACCATACTTGATGCATCTTCAATCAATATATGTACGGAGTTAAACCTTCCAATAGTTACATACATTGGTGCTAGGTTTTACGTCATTATTGGAAGGTGTCACTCAAAAGAGTAAAGTAAACTTGAGTATAAACTAACAATAGTAACATAAATGGGTGATACATTAGTGTTAGGGTTGGATGTAACTATTGAGAGTTCTCACTTATACAAAGAAAGTGCATAGACTTCTTCTCTTACACTACATCTCTCCTAGTACATTCTATGAATGTGTTGTTTGGTTTCGCAATCGAGTTCATTTGCACTTCTGTATTGTTCACGAAGATTAGTGTAAGCGCCATAATTGCATTTGAATTCAGATTAATACACAAAAAAATTTGAGGGAAACAATTGATGATAATATATGTTGCGAAGTATTTTCATGAAGCCCAGAAAATGTGATATGTTGAGATAGATCTTTAAAAAATTGTATGCCACAATTTTCTTTCTCTCAAAGCTATGTATTGTTATCATGATATGAATTTTACTTCCGAAATTACTCTTGAAACTGTCACTATTGGCAATGGTGATGTATTATTCTTATTTAGCAAATTTACAAGGAAAAAGTAATGATTCTAGAATTTTACGTCACTAGTGCACATATACAATACAAATAGAAATTTATAATTCCACTATTTGACGGAGTCTTCCATCAACTTTACTATTTTAAATGATTCCTTTTTAAAGACAGATTAAAATATACTTGTAGGTATCTCAGAACTGTCCGAGCCCATACCATGATAGCGGTTAGGATGTATCACTGTGAAAGCGGATTACAGGTTTGGACTGGAGGTCAGATTGATATCCGTAAGGTCTAAGTCATAGAATAGTTACGCGGAACTGCTAAAAATAATGAGAGAAGAAAGAAGTAAAAAAGAGCCCGAAAACAATCAGTTCCGACATTCCCCGCAATTTCGCACTGCTTTTGATTTTTACAGTCCGCAGAATTGTCCGCAGTGTAGTCCGCCCCGGTGCCCAGGGCCCGGTCACCGAGTGAGCATCGAGCAATGCGTCCCATTCGTCTGCCTCCCGTGACGAACGAAGCTCGAACGCGGCGCTTCTGAGAGTCCGACAAGACTTCACGGCTGAACACGTGGGGTCGAGACCGAAAGACGAATACGAAGGTGCGACTGGCCTTCGACGTTGGAGCCGTGCACCTTCATTCCGGGGCTAAAATTGGAGGAGGGCCAAGAACTGTGCGACTGTACCAGGGCCCTTGTATTATTAGCTGTGGCTCATTGGGAGCGCATGGCCCATGGCTCGTCAGTCATGACTCCATCCCATCCCCAGCGGGTTTGACCAGGCTCCGTCGCCGAATTGTCTTTTCAGCGGTTTCAGTGCGACTTTGAACGGACACAGGGGACGGGTGTCACGGGACGGCGGTACGGGGTCAGCTTTGGGGTCGACGGGACGAAGTGGAGGTGGGGAGGGAATGAGTGTTGAATCGCGAGGGGTTTCGGTGCGTGTGTAGACGACTACTTTGCTCTCAGTCGTCGTCAACGTACGCCCCGTAGACTTTGAATGTCAGCCAGGAGGTGGTCGCCCCGGAGCGCCTATATAGTCGCCCCAGGCCTCGAGGAATGCCACTCCATCGTCCTCTCTCACTTCTCCCGCTCTCTCCCTGGACTTCGCCACTACCTCTTCTCAGTGGCAAAGTAAAAAACAAAAAAAATTAAACAATCCCATCGACTCGTCGATCTTCATTTTGCACAGAAAGAGAGCTCTCTCTCTCTCCCCCCCTCCCCCGGTCCTCGCTCTCCTTCGGGTGAGCTCCAGACTGTGTAGTCGCCCATTCGGGCTTTCGAAAATTTTGAATTTAGAATCAATTGTCGATAGTTTCAGCGATTTCTTAAAAGAGAAGTTTTCTATTTTTTTGGCCGCATTTTATCGCTCTTAGTGCTTTCCCTCCTTCTTTGGTCACACACCCGAGCTCGAGCTTCGTGGAGTTTTTGGTAGAAGTGAGGTTTGATTTGAAGTTTTGTCGACAGAAATTCAGGGATTCAGGTGCTAGACTTGTTTGACGAAATCTTCCACAACTCCGATCACTATGGCCAGCCTCAACGATGTTTTTGGACACGAATCAAACCCAGCTTGGCTCACAGCTTGTCAGGATGATGAAGAATGTGAGGCGTCCAAGGCTCAAGTGAGTGCCTTTGTCGGAGTCGGCGTCGCTCAGAACATCTGGCATCAATTTGGAAGCGGCAATATTGTGGCCGCAGAGAATGTGGATGGTTGCTACTTCGCGAAATCTCGCAATTCGCTCTCCGTCAGTGAGTGATTCGAGACAACAACGACATTGGCGAAGAGCCATTATCTTCTCAATTCGTGTTCACTGACTATACTGTGGACTCATGGATCCGGGGGCACCAACTGATCCCACCGATTTTTTGAGCTAGAACTCGCCCTCGACCAAGCAACCAATTCTCTCGGCGAGGACGGACCTTCAAGATCTTTCACTTGAGCTCATCAACGAAATAAGGAGCTCTGCACGAGGAACATTTCCACTGGCAGAGGCGTCTCATGTCCTAGGAGCAGACGAATGCAAAGTTTTTTTCAGAAATACCAGAAGGTTAGAAGTAGGGGATGCTAGAGATAAACTCAACGTCCCAATTCTGGTGTGGAGGCCAGAATTGAGCACATGTACAGAGGATGATGGAGGCCGAGCGAAGCGAAGCAGGGCAGGGCAGAAAGAGGACCACGAGATCTCAGCGGAGTTCACTGCACACATCTCTCGAGGCACAATCTCGTCTCTTCATCGAAAGCACTCTTCCGGTAGCAGTAGGACATCGTAGCCCATTATTCGATAGAAAATGGTTTTTTGACTCTATTTGGAACAGGTAGGAAGCTCTCAGAGCAGTTTTGTAGATACTCATGATTCAATATCTATCGACGCCGTCGTCGTCGACCTCCGCATTGGAGCCGAGCGAGCACATTGACGCTCAATTTTTAACTAGGATAGATTAGAACGATTGTTTCTTGTATACGGATTCTTTTTCAAACACCCCCCTGTAAAATCCCGGTGTTCTGAAGCCAATCAAAATATAAAAAAAGGCCAGCGATCAGCTGCGCCCATGTAAACTACACAGCCTATCTCGTCGCTTGTGATCAGTGTCGGTGAGTCATGAAATCTGCGAACTTTGGGTTTCTGAAAGGATGTTGATGTTGATAATCTGTTCTCTCTGGTTGACCTTTGCTTTAGTCATCTTAGATTTTCTGCCGTCTTTAATTCATGTATCGAATTCGGTTCGAGTGTGGCTTGTCCTCCTCTCGTGTCATTTTGATCAGCCGAGTCTCTCGAGGAAGAACGGCTTTTGTTTCTGCTTATCATTATTCGTTTCCCTTCCTCCACAACTCTATCTCTATCTATCGTTATCAAGGTTCCGTCTTTGAATATTTTGCTGCAGCATTATGTAACTCTGGCAAAGGATGTCGGTCAAATGCTATTTCAAAACATTTTGCTCCGGCCTTCGAAGAATGTTGTTCGATTGTGATGATGATGTGTAGAGATGGACAATCGCAGCTGAATGTCACAAATTTTTATGCACACAAATCATTCGAAATCTCAGGCCAGTACCTACTGGCCTTGGAAGCTCAGGTCCAGGGATAGAAACATCAAAGATTCTTGCGATTACCAAAGAAGGCTACTCTTACCACTACGCCCACTCTGCTGACTGCGCTGGTTTTCAAATCACAAGTGTGCCGAAAGCTGGAACTTTAAGTTTCAATGTCGGTATTGCCACTGCCTGAGTGTGCCTGTACGTATCCGTATGTTATCGGAGATCGTTTACGGACGCTGTATCCAATACGGACGAAGGCAGCAGTGCCACCCCACTCACTGAGATTCTGCCTCAATCGCTTATGATTCACCAGAGACGTGATCCGAGTAAACTCAGAGTTTGGAATCATGAGTTGGTCTGACCAACTTCACCACGTCCACTTGGATGCCACTCGAGTCGCGAGAGCAGAAATACCGTTGTCGAACTGCGAGAGACAGCGTCGGCCTCAAAATCAAATACCGCGGTTCATACGCAGGAGATATGTACGTGAGTATGTACTGGCTTCTCAAAAGGCGAGATTCCCGGCTCAGAGTCAACTTGCAATAGAGCGTTAATTCGAGCGGAGTTACGCCGAGGAACCAGTTGTTGAAACTGGTATTTTACGAGGAGTGAAACAGCCTCTGGCTCAAGGATGCGGCCTTCCTCAGACGAATTTGGAACGCAATCACAGACCTGTTGGAAGATGAGCTAAGCTTGCCAGAGGTTTGAGCAAGGACCTTGTCGTTCTCGTCTTTGTCTCCCGGTTTTGTGTCTCACGGTATCAATCCTCCCTCCCATGATTCGCTATTGGTTACTGTACGTCGTTATATGACCCTGCACTTGACAGCTTGCCAGATGATCGTGGAATCTTCAGAGAGTTTATGCTGTTGCTGTAGGGAGCCCAAAGTTTCTCATGGGGGGTCACAGATTGATAGCACGAGGATTGTAAAACTCAGGAGAGTGCTTGGATGATTAATTGTTTGATACTTCCAGTTGTGGTCAGTGAAGAAGTTTGGATTGGGATAATTTACCAGCACCTTAGCGTTTCATCTACATCTGTTTCCACATGCAAGATCTTACCTCCACGCGCTGCATCGATCGGCCATCAAAGCATGGATTTTCTGCCCAAGGGGCAGAAAAAGGGAAGACCACTAATCGGTGCATGAACAACAAAACACGTCTAGACCCAAGGCACTGGAAGAGTAGTATACAGATATCCGAAGCAAGTCCATCTGGATGCACCATCTGACCTCGAGTGTCAGTGTAAGAAGCTTGAGTTATTACAGATGCTGACCATCAAAGTAGGCTTCATTTTAAACTATTAAACAATTTAGGTTTTATTTTCTGCAGGTGAACAAGAATTGATTTAGTCCAAATGATTAGGTGACCATTATTTAGCGCTCAGCTCATACCCCGCTCTGGTGTACGCTTGTGAATCAAGCGAGAGTAAACCTTTAACCTCGAGATTTCCAAGCAGATCACCATCACTGATTTCGAGCCCAAGCGTCGAAGCACTTTTCAGCGAATAATCATTATATGCATGCCAAGCACAGGAATTGTCGAAAAGGCAGTCGAGCTTTTCGCTCTCCCGTTGAGCTCCCAAGTTGAACATTTAAGGGCCCGGATAGTGACAGGGGATGACATGAATGACTATTCGATACTTGAGAGAACAAAGCAGGAATAACATTTCTTCTCGACAGAATGAAACCCTGTTAAAAAAAGAAGCCCCTAATTCTACGAGACGGTTTGTTTGGCTTGTGATAAGCGGAGGCTGCGAGAAGCACACTCGGGCCGAACGACAGAACGACAGAACACTCTGTAAAGCTTGCAAGTTGAGAGTTCATGCCTCTGAGTTGTCACTGATCTATCATCTGAGAGGACAAGTGGCTTCTGGGGAAGAAAATCTGAAAGACAGAAGTGGGACACAAGTGGATATTGAACGTGGTCATGGATGCAAATGCGTTGCTAGTTATTGCATGCACAAAGGTTCTCCAGTCGAGCCACTGCAATAGAAAATCAGGGTAGACACTAAAAAGCAAGAATTCGCTTTTTCCACTGCAGGAGACACATATTCTAATCTAGAAACCCAGTAAGCATACAGATGGATCTCAACCTTGACAAATTTTGGAACGACGGCTACATTTCCAGCCTTTTCCACATCCACCAACACACGACGGAAGGTCACATCGTCTGCTCGCGGAAATCCCGTTGGACCATTATCAACCTGGAATCCATGCTCATCCGGATTTCTTTTGTCAATGGCCTCCTCGTAGCCTATTCCCATAAGCTCTGGCCATCCTGAATTAGGTCCTGAAAACAAATATACGCAATCTGTATCCACCAACCGCGATGTACCATTAGTAAGCTTTTGGTCATATCACACACACACACACACACACACTTACTTATATCTTTTCCACAACTTATGCTACTGCACACCTCCAGGATCAGCCGCCTTGATTACCATGATATATACGAGGTCAATAAGGTCCAGTGAAATCTCCAGGGATAGAGAACACTTCACAAAACTTATATCCACAAAGCGTGCCATCCGCACTATGATTAGCGACACGACGAGGAGTGACGATAAAAGTTCCACTTTTCCACGCTGGTGAATATCCAAATCCCTGCCGTTGTCATCACCCTACCCTTGCGTCTTCGGGATCGTCGGGGTTTAATGGTGGCGATTATTCAGAAAGAGACGGGTACTGGCAGTAGGATGGGGACCGTTTAATCAACGTTGAGATCCTCCAAAGACAAACGTGTTGACGAGTTGAAGTACTCGGGCCCAGCATTCTTCACAGTCTCTGCAATATGTGCCAGGCGAAAACTTTAGAACAAGAGTCCAGAGGAGAACTTCGAAGCAACACGTCGAGGCCGCTTCGTCTGAACCCCTAGCTTGTGTTACTGTGAAATATAACTTATGATCTAGACTCCCATTTCTGGACGTATTTTATTTGTTTCCATTCGCATCAGGTGAAGTCCAAATGCTATGAGTCGTTAAAACAGAGTCGTCCACCAAGACAAGCATCGAATAGTTCTGCGAGAACTTGCCAACTTGTCGAACTTTTAAATGTACGGGTTTCATTGTACTCAGACATCGACGCCGCTGTTGGATCTTGACTTAGACTGTGCGCGTGGCTACGAAATCAGCAAGATGCGTATAATCTTTCTTCTGCAACTACGCTAGAAACTCTCAAGAATGGTACAGTCAGCAGAAGATTATTGATTGTGCCTACTACTGACGAGATTTGAGTGACCCATACTCGGTGTCAGAGGTGAATCTCCATGAACAACAAAACAAAAGAAGCTGATACTATACCTCCGAGAGTTATTACATTTATACGATGGAACCGGGTGTTACTTAGGGGGTACGGCTGTTTTATGAAGAAGCATACAGGAAGGCTAAACGATATGGGAGAAAGATATATCCTTTATAAACGATATGGGAGAAAGATATATCCTTTATAAACGAAGCCGAGCTGAGCCCAGGTTGCATGAAAGACTCGGGTCCTCCAATGAAAGAAGTCATCCGAAGAGTGGACGCCAGGACTCGATCGGTCCTGTGAAAAGGCAGACAAGATAATCCAGTTTAGGAAGACTTATATTCAGTAATGGAATGCACGTGTGCTTAACGTCACCTGTGCGTTCGATAAGCCAGAGATTTCCCCAATCGACAGGTGGAAATAGACTCTTATCCATCATCATGAGCTAGGAAATTCATCTGACTCTGCGTGGAAGCTTGAGTGGAATCGAGTCTATGCAGCACTCAGGTCAACACCAATAGCTGATACGGTCACTAGCCTCTGGGAAGCTAGGCCATGGCCATGTCAGGACCTTCAGATCACTTTTCAGACAGAGATCATTCATGGGCATTGTGCCTGAAATGAAGTTCACATCCTACACTAGCTTGTCTGATGCTCAACTGAATCGTTATACAAAATTATCTCTGACCTTTCAAGAAGATGTCCCATGCAGCAGTGATGAAGGTTCGTTCGTACTGGACGGACGAGAATTCGAGAACGTAGAGAATAAGAACAAGTCGCTTTGTGACACTTGCAGGCCAGGCCTCTTATTCAATTACATCCGAAGACTTATAAGCCACTCACGGTTTTTTGGTCATGTGTAATGCTCTCAAGTGCGCATACATGGTGCAAAATTGAGTCAATGGAAAGGATAGAACCGCAACAAGAGTTTCCATTTAATTTGTCTCGAGAGAAAACGCCATATACTATATGAGATAGAAGAAAGTGTTTATGTGAAAGAAATATATATATATATATATATATATATGTGTTTAAGGTGGTATGTAAGTGCCGAGTGTTTAATATGTAGGGCATAGTCAACATTGTAAAGACCTGAAAACATGAGAACAATAATATTTGAGAGATACAAATTTTTACTTTATTGTATACATTTGGAACCATAGAAATCAACTAGCAGAAGAGGCTATGACGATATTGTTTCAATTTTCAACCGTGATACATCTAGAAGTTCAAGATATTAAAGTACAATATCATTAGTTTCGTCTTGGATTGGTTGGAGAATCTTACAGTTATTAGACTGTTTGTTACTTTAAACATTGTCCATGCATATCTACTTCACATGCACTCACAATCACAATCGGAGTCAACCATTCCATGGATTCATAGGCGATGTCCAAATATCAAACCAAAGTGAAATTTTTGTTGTTGGGGATTTCAATGCTTGCATAAGTTATGCTCAATTTACCCAATTTGGTTATTTCTTGAATTCTACTCTCTTTGAAGAACGTGAAGATAATTTATGGTCTAGAATCTCTTCCGATACTTCTACAAATTCTTTGACGTATTACTTTTTAACTTTTGGAGCCATATGTAATTTGAAAACTCTCAACACAATCTCTCTTTCCAATACCTATTTTCCTCTAGCGACGTTAGCACTATTGATTATCTTCTATCCTCAGCCTTTAATAGCTCTCAAGTCTCTACATTTGATATCTAGAACCTCGGTAAGATCATGCAACTCTTTTATTAACTCTTTTATTGTCAAAATAAATCAATCTTTCTACATGACATTCTGTTTTAAATTTCCCCAAGTTTTGTTTAAATTCTTGTAAAAAATACCTTTACATCCTACAATTTCAAGACCTTTTGACTCTCACTGTATGGAGACCTGACCCACATACAACAACTAACTAAGTTGCTCAAAAACATTATTTCTAAGTTCTTTTTGCGACACAAGGATCGAAGAGCTAGAGGTGTTCATTGCATTGGATGAGTAGACTTTGATTGCAAATAAGCGAGGATTAGATCAGTTGATAAGTCTTTGGAGTTCTAAAGTTGGCTTATCATGACAAGGTTTTACAAAGACTTTCTTAGACTTCAAATGAAGTCTAAGAAACCAGCTTTTTTAAGTAGTAAGTAAGAGTACTTGACAAAGGAGCTTATGAAGTATCTCATATCTTTTTGGAGATGTTTAGCACTACAATCTTCTAAACCTACTCTTGATTCCCAGTCTTTGATTGCTTTTGTTGTAAAGCTTAATTTTTTATCGGGGCTGCATCAATGCCATGTTGTGAAAGAATGTCTGGCTTTTTTTCTGAAGCAGAGCCGATAATTCAACTCAAAATTTAGCAAATGGTAAATGTGAGGATTTGAATGCTCTTTCTATCAAACTTTTCAGGTAGGAAGGGAATGATATTGGATTGATCTTATTAAAGTGTTAGAAAATGCTACTATGTATGATACCTTTCAACTTAATCTCTATGGAAGATTGTTTCTATTCACAAAGTAGGAAGGAAGTATTTGGTGACAAACTATCACATTATCATGGTGGCTAGTGTATTTGCCAAGTTGTTTGGCAAATTGATGGAGTCAAAGTTGAGCACATGAACTGAATCTCATCAAAAAATAGCGTGATCTCAAGAAAAAATTTGCCCTACATATAACACCATTGATAATATCTTAGCCTTGCGTGTTTTATGGAAGAAATCTAAGAGCAAGATAAAAGTTTTATTTTGCGCCTTTATCAATTTTAAAAAAGCTTTTGATGCTGTTACTTGTGAGCTTTTATGAAAAAGGTTGCAAGCCATTGAAGTATCATTTGATTTTCTAGTATTCGTAGCCACTTTATGTATCAAGATCTGTTTGGATCAAGATCAACACTTCTCAAACTAAATAGGTTTTGAGTACCATCGTAGTGATTCAATGTTACACTCTCTTTTTTACTCTATTTGGAATGTTTATAAATGATTTCAAAGAGTGGTTGAATGCATGTAATAGTGTGTATGTCAAGCTCGAAAAATTTGTCATCAAATCTCTCTTGTATGCAGATGATATCATATTACTAGCATGTGATGAAATTAATTTACAAAAACACCTATACACTTTGGCTAGATTTTGTATCGAGATGAAGATAAATATGAACAAGTCTAAAATCATGATAGTGGGCTCTAGATTTAAGCTCTTCTTCTATTACAAGAATTTACAATTAGAATAGTTATAAAATCGAGTCGTTGATTTTTGTAATGATTATAGTTGGGCACTTCGTGTGCAAAAGAGAGTGAAAGGTGGTTGCAAAGCTCTATATACATTCTTAATTTGGTGTAAAAGAGCTCATCTAGTGTCTTGGAGTATTAGGAAATTTTTATTTAGAAACTTAGTGCTTCCGGTAGTATTATAAGGAACCCAAGTGTAGGATACTAGTTGTAAGAAGACAAGTTGGTAGCGTGTGGAGAGGATGTAGTAGATATTTCTACATGAAAAAATAGGTGTAAGAAATCAAACTCCGTATCTTATTTTTCTTGCATGGCAGTTTGTCTAACTCTAGAGGCTGAAGCTTTATATTTGACCATCGCTTACATCAAAAGGGTGAGATCTTTTGATGCTTACTCTTCAAGCTTTGTGTGCCACATGTTCCAAGGGATAGTTAGCGGATGTGATAACTTGGTCTTTGAAGTGGAATGTGGTGGAATGAGATTGGGACCTGCAATCTATGACACTCCGCGAATGTCTACTGGAGTAGTTTCTAAACATTATTTGGAGTAAGCGAGGCATCAAGATGCAATTTATCAACTTCATGTGAATCATATGCTTATTTATTGTGAACAAAAAAACCTACTTGCAAGGATTTCATGCTCTTACATCATCTTATTGAGTACTTTGGTTTAATATTGATGAAGGTAAACATATTTGTTACTTGTACTCGTTACGAAGAGATAAGACTTGCTCATAATATAGATGCGGAGAATTTCTATTCTTTATTACACTTAGCTTCTTTTGATTTAGGTTAATATATTACGTGCATCATTAGTTACTGTTTTAGTGCTCTAGGCACTAGAATTAAGAATTGATATTGGAATCTTTTCATTTGTTTGTGATTTTTAGTTTGTATTGTGTTTTTCAACCTTTTGATCCTTTAGATCTCTCGGTCTTGATTTATTACCATTAACCATTTTTGTATCGATTTCATTAGTATATTTACATCATGCGAATAAACTTCATACATATATTATGTTTTTAAATTTCATGATAAATAGATATATTTTTTCTATTTTGCATGTTAATTATTCTTAGCTGCAATATGTTACCATTGCAACATTGTGAGCATTATGCTCATGTTACGGGTTTGTTTTAATTTTCATAATGCTTGAAAGATGAAGATATCTCCTTTTGCTAGATTCTTTCATATTCGGTATCCGCTTTTAAATGCTACATAACAAGAGTATAGAGTCAAAACCAATAAATTCAGAAAAATGTAATAAATTTCACAAAACAAGTATCATTCTTGAATTTTTATTTTTATAATACTTACTGGATATATCTAGAAACATTTAAGAATATCAATTTCAAGTACGTATGATAAATAGCTGAAAACAGTAATTTTTGTAGGCAAAGAATTTTTATAGTATAAATATAAAGAATGACATTTACTTTGATGAACCCTGAATGCATCAATGTATTCAGAAATCATATTCAGGTTTTTATTGTGATAGGTTTCATTTTTGTGGAAGATAGATACAACATTATGAGTTATTTTGTATTAATAATCAAAAATACAACGTAGATATAGAATTTTGATAAGAATACCCTATAAACCTCCGTAGAGAACAAAATCAATTGGAGAGTAGGGTACCAGAGTGTATCTATTTTTTATCATTTTTATTTAATTCATGTATTTAATTTTAATAGCATAAAATTTAATAGCAACTTTATTCTTATAAAATTTACCCTTTTACATATTTTTTTATTTTATTTGATCTATTAAACTGAAGAGATTATGATTGATTGAATGTTTTGGACAATTAGTATACTAGATCAAGGTTCCAATAATTCTCATATGTCATATTGTGTGTACTTATCTAGATTGAAAAATGGAGAAGTGTTTTTATTTTGCTCCGAAAATGCTGTTGGATTGTTTAGTTTAAAGAATTTTTAGCCGGAAAGTGAAGTTCTTGTAAATACTATCATATTTACAAGAACTTCACTCTGTAACCAGCAGATATGCAAATCTTTATATAAGCAAACTCCATAAAACAACTGTATATTCTATCACTACGTCGCACTTCAATCTGTCGACACTTGTGTACATTAGCCCTCAAAACAATTATGTATTCTCTCATCGCGTCACAAGGTCTTGTGATATGAAAGACCTTGCCTAAACTTAATCTTAGGTTCAAGATATGTGTGGAACATAAAACGTAGACGACATATATTCTAGTGACCGTCAACAATGTTCCATAAATCCCACACTACAATGCTCTTCTATCATAAAAATTAAAACAATCATTAGTAACACACTTGCTAATTCTGATTCAAATGGATGTCTTCTCTCGTTTTCTGCGTCCCATTCTCCTCTGGTTCGTCCCCTTTTCTCTATCGAACGTCTCAGCGTCCTCTTAACCCCACTCGACTGATTTGACGCCACTTTCAAGCTTACTTCTTTCTTTTTCAAAACCACGCACGACTAAAAGTAGGGACATCACCTTCATCTCTGATTATGGGACACTTGTCAAAATCTGCTTGTCACGTGAAGCCAGTAGAGTTGCTCTGTGAATACCTCTGCCCCGTAAAACCGTTCCCTCGTGAGACGATTCTGCCATTCTGAGTCCCTCATGCATTTCATTTTTACTAGCTCATCGCCGTAAAGGTCATGGGCCACGAGAGTAGTTTCACCATAACAGACGAAGTCGTAGTAATGACTATAGTTTTGTGATTCATGCTTGCTGATAATACACTTTACTCACAAATTAAGAGCCGATTTCTTTACAAGATTAAAGCGTCGAAGCGTAAGACTCCGCTATTCGCGAGTCTCAGGTCGATCGTCTTCAAGCAAAGCACCATCGCCCTACGGAGAGCCTTATGATTATGGCAATGTGAAGGGATGATCATCGAGTTGAAGCTGCTGCGTCTTGCGCTGCGGGTCAGGTTCACAGCCAAGTCAGAAAAGCCTTCTGGTCCTAGCTCTTTGAGTAATTTCACAGCTCCTCCAATGTTGACATCAGTAGAGCATTCCATACAGAGTCTTTCATCCTTCAGAAGATCGTAATTCCAATGAAGAGCTTCCTTATCAGAAAACTGACATCAAGAATCGACTCAGCCTTCCAGATTTGTAGTCACTCGACCCTGGCTTAAACCTTCAGACATCAATTTACCTGCAGACTGAAGCACGTATGTGGCGTAGTAGCTATACATAATCGTTATGAGGATCTGCCATGCCGATTCTTACAGCAGGATTCATCTTTTTTATGTACTGTCAGCACCAGAAAGAGCGCAACCCGGTTTCAATAACGTAAACAAAGCCATCCAGTTTATTACCTGTCGGCTCCATATTTATACTCCTCTCGATTCTCTGTGTTGTCGAAATGATTCCCCGGACTGCACCTTCGGAATGCGTCTTGACGATAGATTCGGCTGACCTTCCAGTTCTTGAATTAATTGTTGGGATATTTGTAAGATACAGCTGGGATCTTGATGGGACTTACGCACGCAATTCGCAGCATGTCCTTCTCCTGACTTTATGTTTAGGAACGACGATGACGGTCTTGTAGCCCTTTGCAGTGGCCACGAGTGCAAGTCCGATGTATTCGTTTCCAGCCTTGCCTTCCACAATCACCCCTCAAGGTCTCATGCGGCCTCTCTCTTCCGCATCCTTAAGAATGAACACGGCTGCTCAGTCTTTCACTGATCTCTCGGTAATCAGAATTAAGCATTCCAGTAGATTTTACAGCTGGTATCCGTTCACTCACTGACCCCCCGAGATTCAGAAATTAAACTTTCCTGTAAATTTAACAGGTCGTCTCCAGGGACACCTTATTCTGTATTCTTAGTGGGTGTTCCAACATAATCCACTAAGCCTCTACTCACTGAGGTCAAGACTCCGATGAGTTTACAAATGTTCAGGTGTGTGTTATAACTGTTGTCGTACATCAATCACTTTCCATTTTTAAGGTGTCAACCCATGTACTTTGTAAAAACTATTCTTGATTCTCTTAGTTTCTACTTTCTATTCTCCAAGTATCGAATGCATATGGCGGAGATCTTTTTACATCCTTCCCAAGGATGTCACATGCTACACTGTTTGGATTTCGGTGGCATGTAGCTAGTTATAAAGCTATGACCACATAATGAGATGTATTCTCGAATCTTCGAATACAAATTATACATAATTTATACTCCCAGTGTTATAAGTACATACTCCGTTACACTCTACAATCGTTGAATGCACATAGCCAAAATCTACTCAGGTTATCCTCACAACGCTAGCACACAATCCATGTAGCACTATTATCTTCTATAAGCATAATTGGCTTCGCATAAACTCCGATTGCATGTATCAAAAAGTTATAGCTGTGAATTGATTGATTGGCCGAAAACACAAATGGCAACAAACCAGTCAACAAACTAGTCTTTAACTTGACTTCGAACAAAAAGCGAGCGAGGAGTAATATGGCGATGGATCTGGAGGTGTGGGTTTTGACGGAAGGGTTCGAACTCGGCACCAATTAAGCTGCACGTGGAGATTGGTGTATGGAGTCGAGGCAAGAACGAAACAAGTGTTTCCGCGGGCCTGCACTCGGAGAGTGATTTTGGCGTCCTGTCGCATCTGTGAAGGGTCATCACTGATGACCCTTCGCGCAATATCTTCGCATCGAAGGTTGAGTCATAAATTGGGATATTTTTTGTCACTGTAGCAGATGGTTCTTCAATTTATAAATCTATCTATTCTCAATCAAAGTTTGAAGTTTGAGTATTTATAACTTTCTGTTTTTCATCAATAATTACATCTCAAACTCTATAATAATAATAATATTTTATTTGAATATATTGGAAAAAATTTATATAACTTTATAAATAATAAATTAATTCAATTTTAATTATTTTCTAATTTCTGGTGCAAATATTTAAAATCATCAACAATAATTTGTTCCTCCATTGATTGTTTTTTAACCAAAATTTACTCTTTGTGTTACATCGTTAAATTCATAATGATTAATTTTTCTCTCGACAATTTTTTCCATAATTGAAATACTTGTCTTGTCATTGCGTGAAGCTTAAAAAATCTCACTCTCTTGTAGTTATCAAGATTTACTTAAGGAGATATATTTTCTAACAATAATTTTACAAACTACTACATCTTAAAGTTTGTAATACTTTTCTTCACAAGCATATTCGAATAAAAATACTTTTAGGATGTAGTATCCAAGTTAGGAATTTATTTCTAAGTCATGAAAAAATATTTATGAAACCAAAAGTTTTTAAACAATCTTAAACCATCATCAATTTGCATTTCAATTCAAACGATGTCAAAAGACTAATGCTTTGAAAAGAATTATCAATTTATCATATGTATTGTCGTATTAACAGTATTGCTCAAAAGTCACTTGGTAAATCAGACTGGCTTAACATATTACACAACTTTTAAATTTTTGTCTGAATTAGATTTTTAAATATAGCATTTTTATAGCATTGGAGTATAAATCATGATGAAATAAAAAAAGATTTTATTTTATTTCGCAATAAATTCTAAATTTGCCAAAAATATGTTCCATTTGTTATTATTTATGCATGAATATTTCATATGACTCTTCAAGTATGGTTTTAGATGGTGCTTGTACCCATGCTTCATGGAGTACCTTTGAACCTCAATTTTTCAAACAGTGTGCATTTGTTGGAGGCTTTGCTAGTGTATATCCTGATACTATGCGTATGGAGAGTGATCTTTTCGTGGTTAGTTGGGAGAAAAATGAGATCTATCACTTGAAGTCATCATGCATTGTAAGCAATTCAACGAAATTCAAGTAGTTTAAAATTGTGATCATCTCTATCATGATTAAATAATCGATTGATTTATAATAAATTTGGCAATTGCCAAGTTAACAGAGGTTTACATATGTCCAATCTGAGTTTCAATTTAGGCTTTATGACTTTTAGAGAATATAAACAAATTTAGATTTTCTAAAAAAAAATAAATTTTGAAAAAATATCTATCTTGAGATTTTATTTATAAATAATACATAATATATTTTCGAATTTTTGAAAAAGTAACTCAAACGTTATTCTGTACAGACTCAAATAATTAATTAAATTTTTTGTTTCTAACAAAAAAATGTATCCTATAATGCTTGCCCATAATAAAATTTTCAAAAAACTCTAAATTAATTTTAACCAAGTAGTTTATATTCCAAAGTAATGTCAAATATCTATTATCCATGTTACTTAACATAGAACTGACATACATGATTAGTTTAGATCATTCAATTTGAGATTTAATAAACTATTTTTCACATATGTTATTGTATTTTAGTATGAACATATTGTTATGCTTATTGTACACTTAACATAATCATGTTTAAATTCGTTTTTGAAAAACTTCATTTCAACGTTTTTGAATCTAACATATCAAAAGATATAAACATTTTCTCATAAAATGTAAAAATTTGATTTGAATCAATATAATTATAATTACATCAAAAATTTCAATCTTAAGAAATGTAATCATTCTAATTAAAAATGATTAATTTTAAATGAATTTTAACTTATAATAACTGAATCATTTGATATTGCAAAGTATAAATGATTTTTACAAAATGACAAGTGTGATACAAATAAAAATTATCCATATTCGATGCAGCACAAATATCTTTTGATGAGTTGAATAAGACATATTTTTTACATCTTTGTTCGTAATTAAATAAATCATACTTCTCATAATCAAACCAGGTTAAGTAAAATAATATCATCAACTTTCATCTTCATGCTTTTTGAACATCAAGTTGTTCATTTATTTTAAGATTGAGACTAGCAATTTTTTTGTTGACTTCAAACTATACTTAATCACACATGATATGATTTAATTAAAAGAATGCTGATAAATAATCTAATTAACATTGTGTAAGCTCCAACTACAAGGTCTTATCTTAAACACTTGATTCTTAGCACTCACGTACATCATCAAAGGAAAAGTGTTGCTTTGCTTGTGAATATGTCATTCATGTCTTCAATATGCCATCTTGGAAAACTCTAGTAGTCTCAAGCAAAAATGCTACTACTTCATCTTGAAAGAGTACAAAGTTTAACCTCCAATAGTGTCACCTAGTATGAATGACATCCTTCAATTAGTAACATGAAATTCAAGAATCATTAGATTGTAATCAATAAATCTGCCTAATAATAGTTGTTGGTCACTAATGACAATAGTCACATGACTGTCCAATAATGACAATTTCAAGTGTAATTAAGGAATTAATTTTATTATCATGATCACAATTTTATTTAAAAGTTTATCTCAACATTGCACTCTTAATGTTTTTCAATAAAAATAATTTACTACATATAATATTATTGATTTTTTCATTGAAATTTTTATGCATGCATACAAATACAATAATAGTGTCAATATTACTCGTCAAAATATTATAGAATAGCAAATGAACGTTACTTTGCAACGAAACAACACATTTATAGAATGTGGATTGTACTTGCTTGTTGTTATTATAAACTCCTCCCCTGCTTAGTGAGTTCCAACCCTAGCATCAAGGTATTTCACTATTGGGAAATTAAACTTTGTAATTCTATTTGCAATGTCTTCATCATAAGTTATCTCTACTGTTGCGTTTGCAGACTTGTATAAATTGCACCACCATCAGTGACGGCCGTTGTACGTAGTACTCTAGTGCAAGATCCAAGCTACCTTGCCGAACATAACTCAGGCAGTACTGCCTAATAATGTTAGCAGTATCAATTACTTAGTCCATCGATCCCGCCTTTTGATCGTTTCCGTTTCAATCGGCCCAGATACCAAAATCGGTTATTACCCTTTGTTGTTTCCCTCCTTCATTATGTAGGCTATCGCAATATGAAACTGCAAGCTTAGAAGGATTATAGAAGGGCTCACTAGTGGATTATTACCATTCTTGTTGTGATGTAACGTCTCAAATTTAATTGGATACCTTTGGAGATCCTCAAAACTACAAGGGCTGAGTACTTTTTGCACAACACCTGCAATTGAAGCATCCCTTGCTATTACGAACAATCACTAGTTTGAACCACAAGAAGTCCTCAATGGTAGTAGATAGGTCCGGAATATATCGTAAAAAACGATAGCCCTATTGTCAACTTCCAGGGAGTAAAGCATGCAGAAGCATCTTCTTATCATCATATCTATGCAGATTTATTCATTTATTTCTTCATTAATTGTACAGATTACAATTTATTTCAAGTAAAACTTATAATCCGAATTTCTATATAGAATTGATAAATTATTTTATCTTGACTACACAATATTTGTACCTTTGGTTCTAATTAATTTGTATGCTTAATATGTTACAAAAAAATAATATATGATCAGGAAAGAGGTTATATAAAAATTCACATTTATGTAAGATAAATTATCTTGACTTGTGATGAATTTTTCATACTTAGCAGCAAATCTATAGTACATCTTTATATATGATTAGGAGTTTATATATAGATGTTGATTCCTTCCTTGTACCAAATTCCATAGGTAAAAATGTAATCGTAGGAACCCAAAACTGGAACTAATAAACCATTATCTGGTGCAAAAAGCTAATTTTTGAAGTAAACTTGCTACCGAATCGTGAAGCATGGGCAGGCCAGTTCAACTGCAGGTTGGATTATAAATGATACGGAAGATGGATCGATGGCAAGCTGTAACTACACGTGAACTATCTCCTCTCTCGATTGCATTTTCTCGATACACTCCAAGACCAAGAAGTTGGACTTTCAGTCCCCTCAATGTGCTTTCATACGCGAGAAGAGAATATCCTAATCCTAATCCCCCTTCGAGATTTCCAAGAACAGTTAAATCGGTCAAATCACGCTGCACGTAAGGACCACCAACAGTAAGAAATGACACAAAGCGAGCTAAACAGGCGTAGCTTTCATATATGTCAGCTCGTTGTCCTGGACCCTTTTTGGTAGTCACACAAGAGTTTGCACCCTATACCCATGGAGATCTAAAGTTGAAGGAAGGCCTTCATCTCGTCGAAGAAGCTATCCACAATGATCCTCCAAGCTTCCTCCGTATAATGCTGGGCGTCAAAAAACAGGTACTCGTTGGCATCTGAACAAGAATCAAGTGTAATGTTGCACAGGGGACCCAACTCGAAGAGCCCTGTTCCGCAACAACCTATGCTGCTCTCCTGATGTTCCAAACCTGCCAAAACGAACTGACACATGAATAATTGGATACGGTCTTTCCCTCAGGCGATCTTTTTAGGATTGTGATACGATGCCTCATTAATTGTTTATTATTTTTGGAAACTTATAAATGTAGTCTATGGTGGGATTAGATGGGGTTTGACTACCCTTTGAATGCCGACCTATGCATCTAGCCGAGATCAAATTAAATTGAGGAGATGGAAAAATATATTCTTCTCATTGCACTCTAGAAGTAAGACAGTCCCTTAACAAGTAACACAAGAACCTCTCTCCATGAGTCAATGCCGCCGAACCAGAGATTTTTGCTGTCCTGGATAGACAGACAACGAAGCTGCTTCCTCCTCGCAGACTCAATCAGCCTGTGTTTTAGGAGGTACACAATGGAAAGATCGTGGCCCTCATACTTCAATCTCAACACTAGTTCTGGTTACTCCACGGCTCTCGGCGTTGTCATGCCAAATCAGGTCCTACGAGAGAGCACGACTTGGAAAGTCCTCAGTGACATATTTTGTGTTCTACTGACGCACTACAACCGTCACACGGGGAAGTGAGAACCCAGAAAACTGCCCTCGGTTTCGGCGAACAAGGAATTTAGCGAAAGAAAATGCTATCTACGGAACCGTGTGTTGGTGACAAACGTGGCCTCAGAGCCTCTCAGTCAAACCTGAGTGTAAAATTGCAGTCAGCTGTGTAAAATTGCCAGTCAGGGAAGTGCACAGAAATAATTCACGTACCATATTTACTCGGATGCAAGAACAAGTCGACGGTGATGTTGAAAACATCGGCGATGTAAAATTTGCTTCCTTCGAGACTCTGACCCAATGTTTGGATGGCAGCCTTGACTTCTGCGCTGTACGCGGAGACCAAGGTCTGGACGGACGCAACGCACTTAGATCTGTCGAGCGGTTGATACAGTGTAATTTGAAGGGGTGAGCAGCCTCTAGCGGTCACACTGGTGAAGGTCATTTTCCGAGCTCCAGAGTTGTAAAGGTCCTGAAATCACAAACCACCATCACCACCGTTCATTACCCAAAGAAAAATGAAGAAAGCCTTGAGCATAATAGCAACATATCGTGCTACATCATTACATCGTTAATACATCGATACGGTCACTTCCGGTCGCTTACCTTAATGTTTGCGATAGCTACGTCGATCATAAGCTGAAAGTACTGCTCCTCGGTGTAGGTCTTTCGGAGTTCCGCGTTCTGAAGGTAATAGAAGAGGTCGTTGTCACCGATGTTGATGAGATACAGAGCGTTTTCGATGATGTGTGAGGCCTTTTGCGAGCCTACACGACTGACCAGACCTTGCTGCCACTGCTTCACCCATTGCACTTGCTCTGTCCCGGGAATCAGTTGACCCTGCTCCAACCCGAGATACAATTGCCGATGGATGATGAAATTACATTTTTGAAATGACTGGTTGCTTCTAGAATCTCAGCTGTCCGATCATCCGAGCAAATGTTTCGGAACTCGGACATGCGCAATTCCAGCCTGAGTGCGGTGACCTCATCCTCATGAATGATTACTATATAGGACAAGAATGCATTCATGAACTGGAACGCAGTCACAAATATTTTAAGAAAGTCTCAGGATCACAATTTCCAAAACCATCCACGGATGGAATAGCTTTAGAAAAAAGCTTCCGGCAAAGTCGCTAGACATGAGACGACTCACCAGGTTGCTACCGGTGCCGTTGAGCCAACCCGCTCCTGCAGAGGCAGTGTTGATCCCGGATAAAGCAGCTGGTCCCTTAGCTTCAGGACTGTTGTATGCGACGGGAAAAGGCACCCCGAGGTTTTGAGCTAAGAATTGCAAAGATGCCCACAAGTCAGTCTGAGATTCGATCCACAGCAAAAGGAATCGAATCGAATTGAGAAATGCATCGCACTGTAAGCTCCGTCTAGTCCACCACTCACAATCAGTCGTGTAGAGACGAATACTTTATACAGAGAAGGTCATGTTTAATATACCGACGAAATCCGGAAGAATCTTCCCGTTGCTGAAACGTCCAGTGGCCCCCTTAATATCACCATAGACAAAATCTCGACCATAGGGCGGGAAGTTGGCCTTTGCCAAAGTATCTAAGACGTTGTTGACGCCAACATCGGACTGAGAAGCACCGATAAATACAAGAGCTGGGCCTTCTATGTCATTTCCGGCCGCCAATGTAATTTCCAGTACTCGGATCATAGTCAGTGTAAACGTCAGCAGTTTCAGGCTGCGAAGCTTGAACTGCGCCATGTCTGTTGGCTGAACAATGCCAAGGTAAAACTAATCTATATCTCTGAGTTCAACATTCAAAAACAAAGATGTTGAATCTCCGTAAATCCACAGCCTCCTTCCGGAAAAACTTATTTCAAACTATCAACCAGTACAATCGCGTCAACCACGGCAACCTTCCAGACCAAGAGTCGGGGCTATGGCAGCTATGCAGTCGATGAATTCAAGCTCGCTACTCGTTCACAATCAACACTGATTGCAGCTAGAGCCAGTAGGTTATCTTCACTTTTCCGTAGCTTCAGGATAATAACTCAGGTTCTCAGGATCTGCAAAGAAGTAATGATGAGTGGAAGCAGGAAATCTGCTGTATATCTGACAGATACCTGGTCTCAATAAATATACACGTTCTGTGGTTGAGCACTTTCAGCTACTTCACTCGGAACTTGTCTTATTTTTCTCGTCAACGAGGTCGAAACGGTGTCTATTCGTCCGGACACGTTTCTATCGTTCATCAGATTCCGACGATTTTGATTTCTTCTTACTTTCTTCCTCATAGGTTCTATAAGGAGAAAGAAGGGTGGGATTTATGAGGGTCGAAGTAAGGAGGGGCTCATTCGTGTCTTCAAGCCTACAACTTTCTGCTCGGAAAATCCACCTGCGCTTGAAACACTGTGCAACCAACTCTGTGCTGCCCTGATAGCTACTGCATGTTGCTGTTGTTAACATCCTCCGGGACGGTTATAACACGGTTTGGGGTCGGTTTGAGAACTCAAAAGTCCACAGATGTGTAAAAGCTCACCTAGGTTTTGACAAATTTAAAAAAGCCTTACCTTCTTCACGGTGTAGAGACGAAGAATCTACAAAGTTCTGCTCGACAAATCAGACTGCGCTGGATACACTCTACACTGTGCTGCCCTGATTGGAAGTGGATGTTGCTGCTACATTCCTGGGATGATTGGAACCGGGTATAAACTTCACGAACATCCCAGGCTGTATAAAGTCGGCATGCCCGATACAGTTATACCGATACTGCTCTTGATCTTCTGCATTTGAAGACTGCCGGTCGCGCTTCGTGGAGTATTTAATGTGTCCCTGGGATACGCAAGACCCCGCGAAATCCTCAGGATGTACAGAATATCAGTAACTCAGGATCTAAGATTTCGTAGATTGCAAATTCAGCCTCAAACTCTAAAAACCTTATCCTGTGCTGAGCATGAGAAGGATGCGTCTGTCACATAGATTTCAGGTTAGACATTAATTGTCATATATGTTCTAGTCTGGATATCAACGTCATCGATTCATGAACGTACCGGACGACTAGCGATAATCCGATTATGTCGCGACAAGAGGATTTCCTTTGAATGAGTTAGGCATCCTTGCCGCGAGGGTGACCATGAATTCCGGACACCATGATTATTACTCATGGAAGTCTATGACTGACAAATCACCAGTGGCTTTAATGGAAAGCCACCATTCACGAATGTAAAGGGAAGTGGTCGTGTGCTTGAGGACTACTTTGTAGGTATATTTCTGAAAATCAGCTACACTACGGATTTACTCAGCGAATGCAACTCGGACGCGTTACTTATTGAATTAGATTGTTCTTGAGTCGCATACAAATACGTCATTTGTTGACATCTCAAAATATTGTCATATGGTCGGTAACTTCATTTTTCTTTGTCACACCCGCCTTGAACATTTGTAACCTGTTGGACTTCTTAGTCGGTTTATGCATAAACCCTATATGGCCACTGGAATGATTACTACGATACCTTAACGGCACTGTCAACTTTAGGTTACTTTACAAAATGAAGAATCGCATATGCAAGACTATATTGACACAGATTATCTTAGTTGTTCTAATACATGCGATCCGTTGAAGTTTATATTTTTAAACTTGCAAGCGGACCCTTATCTTGGTCGTTCAAGCTATAGCCCACAATTTCCGATAACACAATTGAAGCTGAATACAAAGCTTTGTTGGAAGGGGACAAAGAGGCTTGTATCTCGGGCGGTTAATACAAGAATTGGGGATCCTTCCTTCTCTGAAAGTTCAATTTTCTTGCCCTGATTCTACAATTATTTACGATCTAAGGGATGCAGCAAACCAGACCATGACAGATTTGCACCTATTTGGCGACAACTAGAGTGCTATTAAGCTAGCCAAAAACTCTCTGTTCCAGGCCAAGACCAAGCACATAGAAGGCAAACAACATTTAATGAAATGTTGTTTGCCTTATTAGGGAAAGGGTGTTAGAGTGAGAAATTGACCTCAAGTACATTCACACTGAGTAAAACCTTGCAGATTTGCTCACTAAGTCACTACTGAGACACAAATTTGAAAAGCATAGAAAATTTATTGGAGTTTCTCATTATCGTTAGATAATGAGAAACTCCAATAAATTTCCAATAAATTCATGCAGTCTCTTTATAAGACTGGGAAGCAATTTTGCTGCGTTACAATTCTGTCACTAGGAGCCACATAATTCCACCGGGTTCCTACCACATCCAATGATGTACCTTAGTACATACTGTTAATATCCAATGTGATGCCATTAGAATTTTACGGGATGACACTCGAGTGGTGGTGTTGTTAGTATATAGTTACCGAGTGATATTGATCAGATTAGTAAAATCTGTGTTGTGTTAGAAGATCTAACACAACACAGATCTTCTTACCCTTCTTTTGTTGGCAGGTATATCCTTTGCTAGTTAAGGGATACTACTCTCACTAATAATATATCGAGTTCAACTCTTACTTCCAATAGAATCAGTAACAAGTAAATCGAAGCTGGGGATGGCCTCCTCGGAATACTGCAAAACTAAGACTGGATTGCAGTTTTAGCACTCGATTGTTGAAAGTACCCGATATCTAGAAATTTGGTTATGGAACGGAAGATGCTGAAAGTAGCGAAATGCGGCACATGTGAAACTTTCGATGAGCAACACTGGACGAGAATCGTCTACCTGTTGCCACATGTCATCGAACGTAAACTCAATGCTGGTGACAATGATATGAGGGTGACGCAAAGGATATTGCGATCTCCACATTCCTTCTTGCTTTCTGTCTTTTTTTTGTGGTTACAGGTGCCGTTCTATTTCGTTGGCTGTGAACTCGACCTGAAATCCTATTGCTTTCTTCGCTTACAAAAGCCTTCTTCGTAGTGAAAAGCTCATATCTTAGCAAATGCAGTGATCTTCCAAACGATTCTCGAAGACGAAGATCGGGAGGCCGATGCCCGCAACTTCAAGCCGCTGCTGTCATTGCTCCTGCACATCATGTACGCCGTGTCGCTGCTGTCTGTCCCAAAGCGTCTGAAATGAAGGCTTTTCTTCTCTCGATATTTTGATGCAGTCCGGTGCTGCAAGCTTCACAATTTCTTTCATCTTTTTTTTTGGATGATTGCGTCTGCTCGTAGACCAGATTGCTCTCGCTTGTGCATGGTCCTTCGAAAAACACGCTGAAGAGCCCAAATGCAGCAAACCTCACCACGCAGAAGAAGATGTTTGATTTGGAACAAAATCCTTCTGCTTTTACGAAAGCTTCGTCCAGAAAATCGAGTGTGACCGAACGAGCCTGTGGGGATAGAGTTGCTTCTGTAGCAGAAACCGGCAAGGGCCAAAAAGAGCACCGACTGGTTAGGTCAGAGAAAACGTGAGCCCAGAGGTCAGAGGAGTCATTCGCTCGCTCTCCTCGGTTGCTAGTTGTTCGGCTTGATCCTCGGCCGTTCAGGTGCTCATTACAGCCAACAATGTAGCTAGTCTACTATGTCGCTTAAGACACGGATCTTAGATCTGAGCCTGGAGACAAATAAAACTACTGCAAATATCACTCCAAAGTCGGTCTTCATTATGCAAGGCTATCCGTTTCTAGTATTTGACTTTTCCAATTTTGTTTCATTCCTCTCTTTGTGCATTTTGGATTACTTGATATCATGAGCAATTTGAGGTTGACGTTTGTGAACAGGTCTCACTATAAAATCAAATTTCCTTGATTGGATATCAAAGATCTGCTCCAGGTACTTCTAATATATTTCATCCAAAGTGTCATTTTCTTTAGGGTTTGATTGTATAATTGGTTGTTAAAGTTTGAATGTTTATACGTGGAATTTCACAATTGATGGTGCCTGGTACGCGAGGACGTCTTGACTCATTTTGGCCAAATCTTACAAAGTGCAAGTGGAGGTCATGCACGAACAATTGTACTTCTACCTGGGGATTCGATAAGCTGCTGTAGATCCAGAAGATTTGCGAGTCCAAAGATTCGGAAGCATAGAAAAATAAAGTCCAAGAGTAAAAATTGCAAGCATCTCATGCTCAATATCGAAACACGAGTGCGGGACTGACCAGACAAGCAATATATATTTGAAACACATTTGTTCAAAGTACAGTACTTGGCCAGGCCACAATGTAATGAATCGGGCAGAAAGGAAGACTTTGACACTTGCAATGGAAATAGAAATAGTTGTCAACCAGCAATTGACGCGTCTCCTTTTCACCTCACTAACTGCGTCATTGCCCCAAGCGCAAAGATGCACTCACTTGCTGTACTTGAGTACTTCTGAATGTTCTGTCGATCGATAAGTGTATCTACTTTCCGCATATTGTCACAAACAAATTTTTATTTGTCAATTCTGGCATAGGCTATGCGTGGGGAATTTTTTTAAAAAAATTTTTACAAGTACAGTAGCCTCTCGGTGAAGTTGGCATACCGGGTAAGCACTCATGACTTTCCCCACAAAATGAGGATCAAAATTTATTTAGTTCAAAATATAATAGATTGTCATTTTGCGTAAGTTTTGAAGATTCTCGTGTTTGGAAATCAATTTTCGGTTGAGGTGTCATTGCGTTTGGAAACCAATTTTTGATTGTTGTTTTGGAAGTAGTAAAAAAAATCTAACCGGTATGGAACATATTGTTTATGTTTTCAGATCATATTGGGAAAGAATCATGTACACGTTGTCTAAAGCTTTCAGTAATCCACAATAGAATTTGTTGACTTCAGCTCACTCTCAAAGAAGCAACTCCTTTTGCAGCCCTCCTCGTCTTGTGGTTGATTTAGCCAATATTGATAAACCTAATGCAATACTTTTTGCTTTGGCCATGGCGGAATAGAGAAATTGGAGCTACACATGCTGTCAATCCAAATGTAGAACATCTTTTTCAAACTCAATGAAACAACCTACAAGATAAAAAAACTATTTTCTTCATGTTCATCAGATATTAAGTTAGATCTTTTTAATACTTGCTCCTTCTGGCTCACACATTTTTTAGAGCTGCTCCACTAGCACTGTACTCTAGAGCTTTTTCATTCGGTGTTGTTCAACTTATATCACATCGTTGAGACTCATTTAGTAGTTTAGTTCTGATTTCTTTGTCATTACTATAGAATAAATGTCTTAAGAATTGATTTGTCGAATGTCATACTAAATGTAGGACCTAACTAGGTGAATCTCTAAAATTTATTCCCAATTTTCAACAGAAAAAAAGATTCAAAAGATATACGTGAATCTCTCAAAAGTTTATCAATTATTGTTAGTAGGTTTTTCCTATGCCTTGTCGGAAGAGAGTAGAACTTCAATGACTATTCATTCCCCGGAACGATTATGTAATTATACTCCTGATGAAATGTAAGTAACGTTCATTGAGTTCATGTCCTCCTGTTGATTATCCAGCAATTCCGTTCATCCATTTCTATAAGGAAGTGATTTGCCTAAGTATCCATCTACCGGATAAGTACACATAATCCTCCCAGTATCAAGGTGAGTACTTTGTCGAGAAGATATAAATGTGTGCTTTTTGTTCTCTTACGGACCAGATACTAGCCGCACTTCAGCAAACTGGAAGCAGAAGGCGGCTCAAAATCAGCAAGACACAACAAGTGATGTTATTAAAAATTGAAAGCAAAGAACCAAGAATCTGGTTCCAAAGAAAATTGTAGACTGTGTGCAAAGGGGACTTCATGTCTCACGAGTACGCAACCCTATTGTGAACTAGAACGGAGAGAGGTGTTTGATGTGTACTGGTGAGCCAACCGAGTGAACAAGCTGACAACTCTACATGTAAATCTTAAATCCTAAAGATTGGTTTGTAGCAAAGATGGTGCAATGTGGGCGCACACTGTTATGGACATATAAGGATGTAGAAACTTTACGTGATGTAAAACGTCATGTCTTTGCCATGTCGTGAAATTACCACTGGAAGTTATAAGTTCCATTGCCCTCTTACAAAGCAGTTTTATAAGAGATACTAGCGCATTTCCAGCAATCAGGATGGCTTTGATTATAACTCTCCTCACTGCAACGAAAGAATGCAATATATGAGATTGTTTGTGAATATTGATGCAGTTTTTTTTTCTGTAAACAAGTTTCTTTGTCTTGCAAAAGAGAAAAGTATGTTGGCACTGTTATCCTAGGTCTCAACCCGGAGTTGCTTTGCCATACTTGACATTTAAAAGAGTTGCTTCGTGAGAAACTCACAGTCGTCTAAATTAGCCTAAATTAATTTTCCTAAAGAGACTAAATTAATATTTTAAGGTAATTTATTCTATTGACTAATATAAGCATGTCGGCATATAGGCATTGACATATTATTAGAGTTTTTTGTATTTTATGTTTGAGATACGGCAAATACGCATGTATATCCAATAATAGGTCGTCGACCAATTTTTCCTCTGATCAATGATAAATCCAATTTTCTAAAGTTGTGACGAGGGAATGTGTTTTCTTTCAATCTCACCATATCGTCTCGGTTTTTTTTTCTCTCTCTCATTTAATTTTAATTAGATTTCTAATCTTTTGATTTAATAACTATCATAATGAATATGTTCATAGTTTACATGCAGTTTTACTTGTTTTGATGCATATTTTTCTGCAACACTTGTATCATATATTATGTTTATATCTTTAAATATCAAGAAACATAGATAATTGAACATAAATGTATCTTAATTATAATTATATCAAAGATCATACATAATACATGATTTTAAATCGAATGATTTCTTGCGAGACTTTATATCACCATATTGCACAACCTTCAGTTTCGAATTTATCATCAAAGAAATTTGTGGCGGCTGCATCACTTTGCAAACCTCTTGACAAATACTGGTGACAAATCTCAGACATTTTTTCATTTTTCTTAGCTTCATGGACTTCTTTATCTATTATGTGTTTGAACTCATTCTTCAATTTCTTCTGTTTTTGAGAAGTCTTCTCTATAACCTCACACTTCAAATGTCAGATGAAGAAGTTATTCTCGAGCCCAGAAGCTACCCATCGAAGATAACCAACAAAACCAAAAGTAAACTCTAACACAAGTTTAAAGACTGGATCTTAGATAATCAGCGTGGTCCCGGCGGATTCCACTAGACTGGACACCAACCTCTGTTCCATGCTGTGAAAGTGCTTCTTGTCTCATATATTGGAATCCTGCAAACAAACAAACACAAATAGAGGATAAATCAACCAGCCCAACTTAAAAGATGTTCAGCGGACAGATGAATTAAATCCGAAAAACCCTAAATTTACGGTCTTTGGCTTTTTCTTTCGCCCGAGCACTATGATTTCATCCGACAATGTAGGACTTCTTTGGCTAGGTGTCAGTTTTTGGTTATCCAGGACTTTGGAGCAATAGAATGACTGAGAAGGCAATAATGATAATCAGAGAGAAAACGTGGATTGAATTGTCAGTATATGTTGACCTGTACGTACTTCTGTCCCCGATGGTGTAAAGAGGGTTATGAGAACGGTGATCCTAAACCTTAAAGACAATCATGAAGAATAGTGTAAATGGAGGAACGAGTTTTAAAATTCGGAAACAGATCTGAGACGTACTAATGGAAAGAAACGGTCGTCGGGAGCTTCAATACCAGAATATCCGAACAAGCGTAATGAAAGCAATCCAGTAATTAAACTGTTGCATAGTGTGCCAGATACTAAGTGGGCGAATAACGTCTCTTCTGAATGTGTGATAGCGTCCCAACAAACAACATACTCAATGGCTGACAGGCAGAAACGGCAAATTCGTAAGAATCTCCGCGATCACTTTTTTCTGGATATTCAATGACTGATCTCCAATGATAAAATTAGAGAAGAGCAGCTTGAATGAAGCTAGTAAAACTACTGCTATTTTCACTACACCTAATGAAGGGAGACTCTGCCCACATGCTTTTACGATTCTCAGAGGAGGATTGGCCAATATTGAGCGAGTGCGGATGTAAAAATAGACTAGTTGAGGGTTTAGGGAGATTACTGTCATATTGTTATTCTTAACGCATATAGATAGCTTGCCTAAAGACAGTAAAAAGGAACAAGACATGAAAAGTGCACTTTAAACGAAACCGCACTACTAGCAAAAATGATTGAAGCCTATTCTTGACTTCAAGCTTGCCAACATTCCAGATATCCAGGGGCAAGATTGAAAGTGTCGGACACAGCTGTGACGAAAAATATAACGATATCGTCATCATGGATTAACAATGATGCAAAATCCCGGAAACTGCTTCAATTCTAAGTGACTCAACTGTTATCCAGAATCCTCGTTTTGGGCTTCCTTACATGTACCTCCTGTTATAGGAAACAGAAGTTGTATCCAGTGTGGATTCCCATTCGGTTTTATGACAATATGTCCATATCCTGAACACAAGCTAAAACGTGAATTTTCGATAGGGTGTACTCAAACCAACGTAGTTTAACACGGCATCACAAGCATGTGCGTGTGAACGAGATCTGCAGCATCAAAGGATGGTGTGTACAGATGAGAGCATCGAGGCGAAAACATGCAGGTAGCATTTTCATGGAACGATCAGCGTAAATCCGTTTGACAGGTGGAACATATCAAAATTTAATTTGCTTGAAGAACCTTCGTCCATGGGGACGAAGGTTCTCCATCTGAATGAAGTGGGCACAGCCACACACACACCAACATACAGTGATGTACATCTGCTATGACATCAATATCGTGCATCATATGAAAGGATCTTGAGTACACATCTGATTGAATTGAGACCTTTTTTCTTCCTAGAATATAGCAAAACTCCTAGGAACGAAAGCTTGTTATCTACACACCTTTGTTTTCTCTTTTCAAGTGAAGGCTTAACAGGCGTAGCTTCATCAGTACAGTTTTTTCTCTACATAGCATATATACAAGAACCAATTCTGTTGTCATGCTACAATGACCTGAAGTCTGGTTGACATCCTCAGCAGATTCAAGCTACTTGACAGGAGTACAGAAAACGGTGCCGGCTGGTATCCTAATTGACCCCGGATAAACCTCAGCTTCAGCTTCTTCTTTGATCCCAATTCATGAGAGCACAACTCCCTACAATGTAGACAAAGGGCACAAAGCCGTCGAGTAGTAGATCTACATTATATCCATGAGCCCCAGTAGTAACCACAAGAAACCCTTTCTCCTCTCCATTGAGAGAGCTAATGTATCCATATCTTTCTCCTGCTGCAACGAGCAGGCAGGCAAATCAATTGAGTGGTCCACTACTCCATTTCTCCTTCACTGAGTTGATTTGGAGGGTCGCTTCTTCACGGCAGAGAGGGCATTTTCTAGCACACCAACGTAATGTTCCACCTCTTTGGTCCCTTTTCTCGTTTTCTCGTCGTTGTGGCCAGAATTCGACTGAAGAGGAGCAACTTTACCACTAGCCTTATTCCCAGGACTCATTTTGGCCCTCGACTTGGTCCAATTTATTGCTCTGTCGAGCACATCCACACATTGAGCTACATCTGCACTATCCTCTACAGCAGCAGCCAAATCTGCTGCCCCTGAATGAATTGAGTTGAAAGATTCACATGACCCGTTTCTAAGCAGCGGCCCCGAGCTCGATGCAAGATCATTTGTTGCGCCATTTTCTAGCTCGCTTGCCGCTGCCAATGCAGAACTCCATTGAGAAAGAGGCATCGGAGGGGCCGATCCACCGAGGTTGAAATCATCGACATCGGAGGCAGATAGAGTAGTAATCCCCACGGAGAAAGACGGACCCACCAGACTCGGCCTCCTCATCAAGCTGGGACTACCACTAAAATCCTTGGACCTCGGAGTGCCCGACCTCGGAGTGTTGGACCTGGATAGAGAGCCACCTGGAACCTTAGCGACGATCGTACCGAGCCGGGGAGTGATGGGTTGCTCCTCCAATAAACCGGACTTGATCCCGGAATCTTGGCCACCGAGCTTCTCCTCGTCTACAGCGAGGCCATCCACCGCACAGTCGAAGGCGTCATCGTCCGCTATGCGTCTCCTCAAAGCCATCGCACGGGCCTTGGCCATAGCCTCGGCGGTCTCATACTCCATCCTCCGCACGTCGTCCATGGTGAGCCCATGCCACTCATCCAACCAGCAAAAGCACTTCCGGTGACCCTCGAGCAGAATCTTGCGCTGAGCATTTTTGGAGATGAATTTCTCGATCCGGGATCCAAATCCCCAGTAAGGTACATCCACAGTGACGCACTTGTAGGCGCACATGACAGGCTCGCATTTCTCCGACCATCCCTCTTGCAGAGGCCCTCGACCGGTTCGCTGCGACTTAAATTTGGTTGGGTCTTCATCCTCCACATAATTTTCCACCTGGTCCGTGGCGATGTCGATGTACTCGACCTGACGCTTTTTCAGCGTCTTGGGGTCCAGCCCTAGGGCATTGTCACTGGTGCCTCGGTCGGGGAGGTGAGTGGTTTCGAGAATAAGGCGGAATTTGTTGAAGAAAGGACATTTAAGTACGGTGGTGCAATGCGGGTACGCATTCCAGGCCTCCTCTTCCAGCATCAGGGCCTTCTTGGGCAGAAGGCTCACAAGCCAGCTCGGGAGCTTGCTGGCCAGGTGATAGAGCTTGTGGGTGTACTGACCCCGGCGATCGCGCTCTTCGAATGGCTCGTTCTTCAAAACCTCTACCCCATCCCCGTTATCCTCCGATGACTCGCTCGCGCTGTACTTGGCCACCATATACAGCTGCGCAATTTTGTATTCCTCCACCGTGAAGGGCAACACAATGCGGTACTCCCAAATCGCGACCATCCTGTCTTCCTCTGCTCTGATCTGCTGGGCCTTGCACCAGGATCCTCTCTTTCCTGGCGTTCTGCTACAACCCTAGAATCGCCTTCTCAACTAATTACTAGCTCGTGGATGAGCATGGGCGACTACTCTTCGCCTCGCAAAATTTGAAATTTGTTGTTCTAGGTCAAGCTGGGATGGGAGGGGGAGAGAGCAATAAATGTTTGGGAGGGGAGGGCTCAAGAGCTCAGGAAAAAAGTTTCGCCTTGGAAAATTTGTAATTTCTTGGTCTAGGTCAAGCTGGGATGGAGGGTGAGGGCGCAAAAAGAATTTGGGGGGGCTCAAGAGCTCGGAAAAGGAATTACGACCTCGCAGTCTCTCTCCACCCCCGACAGAACTGAAGGCTCAAAACTCAGTTCCGAAAGGGAATGACACCGTCCGCCAATGACATCGTCTCGTGAGGAAGAAACGAAACGGGAGAAAGAAAGATCGACGAAGAAAGGGTTGAATCCTCTCGGCCAACTGACAACCACCTGATAAGCTGAGATCATTCCCAGTTCAATTTTATTCCGGCCAATCGAGAGGGCACAGTAATAATGATGACGAGGATGATGATAATGATGCGATGAAGCACACGTCGAGCCGAACCATCAAATTACCAGCACGAAAGCAATAAAAACCCGCATACGCACGCGCTCGAGCACACGCACAAGCAAACAACGCCGTGAGCTAGAGCGGTGGAGGGGGATTGCCCTCAATCACTCGTCCATCGGGCAGGTTCAAATCGTCGAGCGGACGGCAGCCAGCCGCGGGGTCCAAATCAACGCACAATCATCATGACTCTCATAACTCTCTCTCTCTCTCTCTCTCTCTCTCTCTCTCTCTCTCTCTCTCTCTCTCTCTCTCTCTCTCTCCCCTATCCCGCGAGAATTAACCGAATCAACTCTAAATCTCGTCCAGAGCGTGAGGGCGGGCGGAATGATCTCTCCCCGACTCGACTCTCCTCGACTCAACTCCGCCCACCCACTCACCGCCGCACACTCACAGCTTCTTCCTCACGCTCGTCTTCCATCCAATGCAGCCAAAACCGGCGGCTGGGGCACAACCCAACCCACCTCCCCAAATCTCAATTTCACAGCAAGAAACTTGCGATCTTGCAATCCGCCGCCCTCCTCCTCCTCCTTCCTCCCGTTCTCTCTTGGCCTCCTCTGCTCTCCCTCCTTCCCTCCCTTCCTCGTGCTTCTCTTTGGCTGGCCCGCCCTCTTGGCCCCGGAGTTTCTCTTTGTCGTCACTAGACGAGACGAGGGGCCAGCCGGTCATCAAGATTACGGAGCTGCCAGTTACCGGTGACGGTCTGAGCAGTATCTTGCTTTTCTTTGCGACCTCCGATCCGATCTTCGCTGCTGCTGGCTGCTTCCCTCGGCCTTGCGTGGGCTGGGCTGGGCTGGGCTGGGCTTCTCGAGGAGCGTTGTGGTGTCGTTGTGATGATGCTGGCGGGGGCCGTCCTGCGTGGATCGTCACGCTCGGCTTTTTACCCGCTCATTCCTTCCTCCCACGGTTCCACCTCCACTCGGCCTCCATCCGGAAGACGACGTGTCCCGCCCATCTCAACCCTCACGGCACGGCACGTCACCAGGCCTCCTCTCGCCTCCCTCCGCCCTCCATTCTTCCCTGCTTCGGCTCGGCTGGCCGTTGAAACCCCTCTCTTCCCATTCTTCTTCCTTTCCCAAGGCAGTCAGCAGCTAGCTCTGGCGAGTTCTTCCCACTTCGATGCGCGAGTGCCCGCCTCTTCCTTCCTCGTCTTCCTTCCGACGTGCCCGGCTTCGGTCGATGATTCCGGGGTCAAGCTCGAGGGGAGACGAACACCTCAGCCTTGACAGGAATTCGATGTCCAAGAGTTACACAAATCTGTGCGGAGCTCGTGGCAAGTCAAATGGCCGAGATGTGGGTCAAAGCGCAGAGAGAGGGCGAGCAGAGTAGACTAGGAATTTTGTGGATCGACCAAGGTGGCCGGAGAGTGACGCGCCATGCGCAATTCTGGCAAGTCAAAAGGCGAGGAGTCGTTCCGAAAACCAAGGGTCGCAGCAGTGCCACTGAGGTCAGGACACACCGAAAAGCATGAGTGCATGCAAAGGGGGACGGTGCATCGAGTTCACTCCAATCATGGGCCCGCAAGGTGAGAAGGGGCCGCAGAGCGCAGGAAGGACAAACACTCCATCGTGCAGTGCAGTGTGAGCTGGTGCCTATCCGTGAGATATTTGCCCTTCGTCCAAGTTACTTTTTCCTACAGCGTGTCTTGATCCTCCCTCAAAATAGCCGCTCGTATGGAATGGAGGTAATCAGGGGCCGGACTGGACTGGACCTTGATCCGGGATACATCCCCCCACCTTCTTCGCTTGGCGTTGGACCCAGCTGCGAGCACCTCGATCTTCGCTAGAAACTCCTTTGCCCACAGTTCCTCACTGTCAGCCTGATCCTCCTTCCTTCAATACCAGCACAGAACAAGCACGCACTTTTGGAGCGAGTGAACGCACTGATCGGCGAGTCTTGGGCACTTGGCAGAGGGTAAACCGAGTCGGACTCACGAGTGTCTCGGCAGTCGAGACTCGGAACTCGGTATACTCCACAGATGTCACACTCGGGGGCAGAGACTGGCAACAGAAAGTGGTAGCTGTTGACTACCCTACCTCAATCCTAGCGGGATTCTCTGCAACGAGATTCTCTCGCCCGGAATTTGCTTCCCACCCTTTTTGCCGACTATCTCTTGGTTCCCGTTTTATTCTCTTGACTCCACCCTTGAGCTGCCGTACGGAATTGGACCCTTGCTGAAGGTTTCCGGTGATGTTTGAGTGTCATGCGCATCTCAACGCGCTTGGCATTCAACGTTGGAGTAGAGCTTCCATGATCAGGAGTATTTTGCACCTGTTGGGGTTGGGAGCGCATAGCGTCACAATTTGTCTTCCCTGCATAGAGAGCCATGGCCGGTCACAGTAGTCAACATTTTCGTGGCAGTATGATGATGCAAATGTGAGTGTAACTGAAGAATACATCAAATGAATTTCTGTGGGGTGACCGCTCTGTTACCCAGAGTCAAGGCTCTTGGATGCTTGGATATAAGAGCCTTGGATATAACCTTGACCCCATATCCAGGGGATGATCAAGGAGAGGGATTGGTAAGTTGGAATTTTGTGAGCGTAGAATCGACATTGTGTGAATTATAGGTAAGTAGGGTTGCCACAGTGCAGGGAACAGAGTTCAGCAGTGATGACAATTCTGGTGAGTGGTGGGTCAAGCGTTGCAGCCACGAGACCAACACCGACAAGATGGTCTTTGATAGCTTATCGACAGTGCTGTACTGATGATGTCACAATCGTGCATGTGCGTGAGATGGTACCTCGACAGAAGCTATAAAAGCTGCTGTCTTCGATCAGACCTTGACCTCTTGTTGAAGTTACCAATCTGACCTTTCCACGTTGCCGGACAAAGCAAACAACAGGTTCTACCTTTTGGGAGGACCACCATTACACAGATCTCTTTGTAACCTATTTGGGGATCGCAGTAAGCCTTGACCTCGCTATACTACTGCGAAGGGTCTGCGAGTATCGACGTGGGCTGTGACATGTTACCATTAATAAATAACACGGTACAAGGGCAGCACGTGGTGGAGCTTTTCCATTCCCATCTACAATATTGTACTCAATCAGAGTAGTGGCAGGTGCGTGTGACGCTCCCAGCTCTCAATTCTCGTCAAGACATGTAGTCCCTCAAAGTCCCCGTGCTAGGCATCGTAGCAGGTCCGTTAGAAATCTCCACAGGGTTGCGATTTTAGGGTCCAGCTTAAGCGGCCCGTGCAACCCGGAAGCACGCCAAGGCTTCGAACTCCCGAAACCCCTAAATTAGCAAGGGAACAGACTTGCTGAGTACCGTCACAAGTCCAACGACTGGACTCTCGAAAACAGATGAGCCCATCGTTGTACGTGTCATGATGTAAATTCTCCAAATTTTCCATGCTCCATGACTACCTCTATCCGAGAGACAAAGTCTATTTGTAAGTGGAATCATATCGAGTCGCGAGTGGCTCGACTTTTGAGGTGTGCAGAATGCTACAACCCTATTTCTACAGTAACTTCGTGAATTGGATATATATATATATATATATATCCTGGAATAACCAAATACCTTCGTCAACATAATACCAGTAACATTTGGTCCACCATGGGGCCCGCAGACCAAGTCTAACAAGAGATATTACTGCCTCGGTCGGTATTGGAACTATCCGGACGGGAACAAGTCATTTTCGAACGATTGAGCAGCCACTTTGAAAGATCCACTCTGAAGGATAACAATGTCATTCACCATACCAACTGTAATATATGTTTCCAAACACTCGTTATCTCAACGCAGAATATCGAAACCAGTGTCAAACTGCCATACAAACTCTTTACAATTAAGCAGTACACAAAGCACTTCAGCTGAGGAACAATTTCGACTAACTTAGAGCACTAAGGGAGTGGGTTGTAGCTAGGTAGCAAAATCTTTGTGACATGCCGCCTTCTAACGACATAACTTGAATACATGAACCTCATTTTAGATTGGATGTCACAATCAATGAATATAGATCTACAATTGCTCTACAGTGAGCCGTTCTTAAATTACGGACCCCACTTTCAATGGCGCAGTTGAGTTGCTTGTCCCAATTGCGCTATGTTTTAACTCCTAAAGGAAAAGTAGAGACCTTGCCGATCCCTTCTTAGCTCGCCGACGTTTTCTTTGCCTCACACGCCACAAGCTCCATATTAAAACAAAACCTGAGTAATAAAAGCGACTGTCAAAAGTCTGCGTATCTCGAAATCCAGAAGCATAAAACTAAACAACTGTATACTTGATACCGTGACTAAAGTTACGGTATCAAGCCATATCTGCTAAGCAAAGAAGATATAAAAAATACATGTCGTTCATATAAAACTCAGGGCTGGTAGCAACAAGCAAACAGTAATCCAAAGAAGCTCGATGCCGAGGAAAAAGTTTGAGAAAAAGCTCTTTATAAATCTGATGGCAAGGTGGGAACCAGCCAAAGCATGCCAGAAATACTATGGAACTTCCTCCAAGTAACGAACTGTGAATGTACCTGTGAAACAAAGGAAGAATGGTACAAGCCATTGTACGACCAACGCGGTGCTATCAAGCTGCAATATACGCCAGCTAACAGTCAGAAATCTTCAAAAGGAGGAAGTGCACGATCAACGCTACTTGACTTCTCACTTTTCTTTCGGGACACCAGCTCCATCAAATATTTCTAATATCCAGTAATCTAAAATATTCAGTCTAGTCTAAACATGTGAACAGGGACTGTTCGAAGTGCCCTAGATAACAAGAAGAAAATTGTGAAAATGCAACTTATTAGTCTCAAAACGGGCACTTAGAGCACATACCTCGTCGCGGCGCCAACCTATGCCAAATCCCATTCGTCCTTTGTTACTCTCACCGGCTGCTTTCATCGTCAGTATACTTCCGTCATAGTTCTCTCGTTCTCTTGACAGCTCTCCTGAAGTCTTTTCACTGTGTGGTTCAGAAGTTTTTACGTCACTATCCGTGGAATTTAGAACATTTCCTTCTAACTGTACATGGTTACCGTTCTTACTATCAGGAGTCCGGTGTATTGGAGGTGTCTCAGATCCAATGTCCCCATCTACTGTAGAACTTATTACTGAAAAATTTCCGTCTCCAGCATTGGACAAGGAGGGAGTTGCCGGCCCTCTTTGGCTACTTGTCATCGGTTGACGTTGAGGCAGGGAGGTTGATCCTGGTGTCACATTCGGGTCTCCTAATCGCGCAGGCATGACAGTCTCTGGTTGAGCTAGAAAACCTTTCGAACCTTGAACTACAAGAGGAGCGTCCATACCGCATTGCAAACGGTGACCCAATACTAGGGAGTACGTCGTAAAATTTACATCGGTCCGCCGACTTGGAAGCAAAGTATCAGGCGACCCTATGGGAACCAACAGCTCGTTGGTAAGAGGTAGAAGAATGGGGTCTCGAATCCTGTAACTCGTAAAGTCCAGGAGCTTCTTCAAAAGCCAGTAGCAATTCGTCACCATATGACTGCTATCCAAACAGTTCGAATCTCCATACACGGCAATTCGGCCTCGTCCAGCTTCCACAGCTCCTAAGATGGCCGACTCCACCTATCACCACACTTCATTATCAGCAACTGAAGATAAACCTTCTGACTAAGGAAGTAAGTAAGGAAAGTAAAGTTAGACGCTTGCTTCATCACAAAGATGTGAGGATTTTGGATTCAATGATTCGATCAGTAGCAAGTCAGAAAACACTCTGCTTGCTACAAAACTTCATCAGCCTCTTTCAAACCTGCATGTTCGACAAGGTTGTATAGAAGGCAAAAACGTTTTCAAGTACACCCACACATGCAAAACATAGTGAGGCTGGAGTAAAAGTCACCTGAGCTTTCACAGATGTGCGCGATGAAGTAATTCCAGAATTCGCTCCAGAAGAATCTTGGAAGAGAAACCGATGCACGAAACCCCCCGCGGGAAACCTTTTGATATCCGTGCCTGAGGCGTAATGTGCTCTCTCACCCCCTATAGAGAAGGCCCCATTCAAAATTGTATCGCCGAACGCGATGCCAAAAGGTGACAAAAGATCATTCAGCGCAGGAATGTTAGCCCCACCTGTAGCTGGAGTCCACCAGCTGCGAGTATTATCATCAAAGAACCTCATCTTGACCATGGTATCCACATGGTACCAATCCGCGAATACTATGAGACCGAGTCCACGTCTTTGAACGTCATCCTTCAGTTTTTCAATCTCCTCTTCGTAATATTCATCTTCGAGGTCAACCATCAACAACGTTCCGTACTGATTCGCATCAAAGCAGGTTAAGGGCGAACCCAGGCTCTCCAAAAAATACCCGGCATCCCGCAGACTATCAAACATACCGTGGAAATTCGTGTGAAGGTGGTCTCCATGCCAGTCGAGAATGTCGTTCCGAACGTCAAGTGAGTCACGAGGTATGTAACCTGGAGGATATCTAACACTATGAAACTGATCCCAGAGGATTCTCTTTTCGCGTGCAGGAGTCGGAACAACAGCAACTTTCAGAGGCAAACTGCATTCGCACCTTCGAGATTCATACTCCCCTTTCGCCGGAGGAGAAACAACGGTGAAAGTGATATTTCCCTCCAATATTCCTAAGTGCCTATTTCCTTCTGGCTTGATGCGAAGGTGCAAACCTAAATAGCCAGTCCAAGGCCATATCACATCCGAGTATGTGAATTGTATATCTAGTAGATGCCCTGCACTCCCAAAAGGTGTCCACTTTGGAGCAGACTCAAGGTAGCCAACCACTCCCATTCCATTCAGGATAGTAGCATTGAATATAACAGGCATGGCACCAGCGTACATAGGCTGGCGACAAAAGGGCCAAGCGTACGGACAATCAGTGAGGTCCAGGGTCTTTGGATGAATACTTGTGCGTGGGCTATAATTCGTCAGGATCTCGTAAGACTTCAACCTGCACTCTCCATATTCCCAGTGAATCAAAAAGAAGGAACCAGCCAAAACTAAAATAAGCTGCGGGACGAATATCAACAAGAGCACGAAATCCAGGTGACCTCCTCATCGTTTGCAAGCAAGACACTACAGTGCAGCAGCAAGGGTGAGCACTAGACTTCACATAAAAAAATTCCTCAAATCCACCTATTTATCCAGATTTTCGATCTATGTAAGATTAAGGGTCCTTCATATTTTGTGACACTTAAAACATAGGAAGAAACAACTCATCCGCAACTAGCACAAGTCAATACTACAGACGAGTAAGATAGTGATGATGCATACGCAGGAGTGATGAGATTCTAAGATGGAAGCTAGTACTTCCTGCCAAAGTACAAGCAGCCGAGTTTTCGATCATCGAACTATGCTAGAGGAGAGAGGTATTGATAACGTACAGATTCAATCGGCCAGCACCTTGCTCATACATGTTTGGTCCTACTAGACGAGTTGCACCTTCAACAAGGGCTTGTTTCATACTTGCAGGGTTCAAGATATCCCATCGTTTGTCCTCTGGCACGACGCTGGCCAATAAACAAACGGCACCGGCCACCACTGGACTTGCCACACTTGTCCCGGATAAGCTCTTGCATCCAGTGGTGATCTTCGAACCAATAACCTCCCGCCCATACGCCACAATATCTGGTTTCACTCGTCCGTATCTGATAAGATTGAAGTAGTCATAAGCGTCAATCACAATTCAATAAGTCATTGTGATAACGGGAAAACGCAAGACATACGTAATGATCTATTCTATGCAAAACAGACATCCACCATTGAAATAACCATAATATCTACTGTGGTAAAACAACAAACGTTCAATTACAGTTCAACATAATCGAACGACGGTCATTTCCTCCACAGAGCTTGATTGCCAAGTGTTCGTAAGTTGAAGTTTTAACCTACTAATTTCCAAAGATATGTACCGAAAACACCGGAGCGTGAATCATTGCCACACCTATGCATCGACCAATACTAGATACCTATGAAAGGAGGAAACTAATATATACCGAGTCTAAAACATTCTCAAAATTTGAACGGTAAGCAAGGTTATAATACCCGTGTGGAATTTCCCAAGTACTCATCCCCCGCGAGGAGAAAGATGCGATATGATCGCTGTAATCAATACCACCGACGCCAATTACATCGCTCTGATCTGCTGGATTATTTAAGGTGCCATAGAGAGGCCCATCGTTGCCAATAGCAGAAACCATGATGATGTTGTTCGCGGTCATTTCCCAGACCTACGTAAGATAGTAAAGATTTAGGAACGAGAGACCACTCTTCCAATCACGCTCATTGATCAGCAAACAGTGAGGTTTGATAATCGTAATAAATCTCTGCACTAGTATAACGTTAAGACGAACAGATGTGGTGACTCAACTGCCGATATCCTCCGCGATACGTAATAGCTTAACAAAGCAAGAAGATAAACAATGTCTTGATACTGGCAAAAACACTCTATTAATCAATAGCTTATAACTACTTGTCTAATTATTAACTCAAAAGCACAGAACTGACAGTCAGAAGAAGATCTTTGGCCTCGGAGTTCGTGCATATCGACGAGCTCCGAGGCCCAAAGCCATGAGATTCCCAGCTTGACAGGAGATTAAGCTACCACCATTTCGGACAGAAGTAAGTATCAGAACTTCACCTGATCTATACAAAGCAAGACATTGGAGTCCTCGGGACACCAATGTCATCGGACTAATATCAAATGACAGACCAATGCAGATATATCAAGATATAAAGTGACCCAAAAGAAGGGTCTCAAGTCCCAAATAAACTAACTTGATAAGTGTCTTTGAGAAGGTACGTACCTTCTCAACAAAAGGACTATCCAAGTAGTCAGGACCACCTATGCTCAAGTTCAGCACGTTCATCTTTGTCGCAATGGCATAGTTGAATGCATCTAGAAACCAAGACGTGTAGGAAACCTGCAGACATGCTGTGAACGTTTTCTCCTCATGGGTCCACGGAAGAAGATAGAACAACAAGAGTGAAACGTAATCTACATACAATATCATACAGAATGCCTAATCGTGCCAACAATATACGTACTGCTAGCTTCAAGCTACCAGAATAAGTAAGACTCAAATATTCGCTGCAAACTCAACTTTCACGGTTACACGAGCTATGGCCACGAGTAAAGATAAGATTGTCATTTGCAGTGATGTTACTGGATAAGCGTACAAAGAGTGAGCGGAAGCAATATTAAACTACCTGTGCGTCAGTGAAAACGCGAAACGCGTATATCTCGGCGTCTGGGGCAAACCCCAAGCACTGAGGATCTTGACTTGAGATAACGCCAGCAACAAATGTCCCGTGTCCAAGATTGTCATTTAGTGTATCCTTTTCATTCGTCCAATTTGTTCTTTCCTGAGTTGAAAAAGACAACGCGTAAAAGATGTTCAACTCCTCGGGTAAGCACAAGCAAGATACGAGTGAAATCCATACTATTGAACGCCTACATATGCACATATTTTTGAAGTATTAGATCACATATACAAGAATGGAGGGAGTAAGGGACACGTAAATATTGGTATTGCTAAAGGTTCATTCTCAACCAAAATATGGTAGTGCACGAACTACAGACAGCATCTTGACACTATATGCAGCCGAGTCAAGATTTCATGAACAGCATATTTGTTGCTTTCAAAACTACTTTCTACACGATCTAACACCTTGAAAAAGTCATCTCCACGTGAAGAGGAGATATAACTTTAACAAAGTGGCCTGAAGCGTAGCCCAAATGGGCCAAAACTCGTGTAGATATGGAATTGATCCGGGCAGCCTCGACGTCAGTAACGTAACCCATCAGAGGGGAAGTAATGTGACAATAGAGTATCCAGATATTGTTTTAAGTTTCTTCAGCTGTAAAGAGATGGTTGTTAAGAATTACCTTGATGTTGCGAAAATGAGGGTGATCAGATCGAACTCCAGTATCAAAAACTGCCATCTTTACTTTACTGCCTGTGTGACCTTTGGCCCACAACCTTTCAGCTTCGAACATGGAAGTGATTTGAGATCTCTGATTGCCGCAATAAAAGAACGTTTTGTGAGATACATCACACCACTCCAAAATAATGGCTGATTAGAATTTCTCTAATCTCCAGGCACATTTCTCAAAGTAGCATCATTGATTAAGACGCCAATACGTTCATTGATACAGAACAAACTTCAAGAGAATTTTAGCAGAGCAAGATGACAAGGACCGAGCTGAGTTTGGAGCATCCAACCTGCAACAAGAGACGGCGGCTATGATCAGCTAAGGATATATTTTCACTGCCAAGTTTCCAGTTTGCCGGCATCTCATCTTCAATTGACAAACCCGTCTTGAGACGACCTGGTGGCTTTTCGGTGTGATACAACTCATCTACCCGATCCTTCAAGTCAGAAGTGACATCCATCTTCCCCGTCTTTGAAGGACCTGCACTGTCTCCAATTGTGCTCGTTTCCCGGCCACTTTTCCTACTGCCTTTTGATGACGTCAGTTTGGAGGCAGAAGTGGGCTTTTGGGTATCAGTCTCCGATTCGGAAGCTAGTCCTCGGGTAAATTTCATTTGGTGAGAAACGTCCCGAACGATGCTTGCACCTGATAATCGACTCAATACTGGCTCCCGCTGAGAATCTGGAATTCTCAGCAGCCCGAAATCAGTAGGGAAAGCTGAGGCAGGGTTATTGCGATCAACCCATTCCCAGCCCTCTGCTCCCACGGCTTGTTCAAGGGCACGTCGATGTGCTAGTGCGTCTTGGTACTCCCTGAATCGAACAATGTATTCATTTGCTACTTCACCAATTACCCGCAGATTTTCTTCTTGCTCAATATCCTCAGAGAGACCGGCCTCATTTCGAGTATCTGAGGGAGGATCCGCGGATTCTCGGCGAGATGTACCAGCCTCGTGCATGTGACAGGTGATTTGGTCCACTGGAAAAAACTTCTCTGGGCATGATGCTCCGCAACGCCGATGAAGGATATCTTTCGACCAAGGAGGCACCGGATTTCGGCTGCAGGTGCTTGCGTTACTCTTGGAACAAAGCCCAAACTGGTCACAAAGGTCATCGCAAGCGAGTATGGGCAGCAGCAAGAGTAGCAGCACTAGGAGTTGGTGATGCCAAGACCCAACTCCGACTGCCTGTGCCCGCCTCATGATTTAACAGGCCTTGAGGTCTTTCGATGATTAGATCAATAAACCTCAAATCTGACAGATGCACCTTACTGTCATCCCTCATTCTTTGGTCAAGGATCGCCTTCATACATTGGCTCCAGATATTACTGGCCTAGGGAACCTGAAAAGCTGGAAATGTCTCCAAGTTTTGAATACGAGGCATTCGCTAAAAAAGTGATCCAACAATTGAACCGTTAAGATATAATCAAAACTCGATTGTATGCTTCGGTTCATATTTTACGCCTTGCTCCGTGTAAGGGCTTCTCTCCACCTCCAAGCATATCGTTAGGTCGGAATTTCCTTCTTGAATCTAGATTCATCAACCCTTGTATACAATAGGTAGCAGTATTTCTTTCCACTCCTGCGCGAAAGGGTCTGGCCAGTATTCTCCTCGCCTCTTGAACGAGCCACAGCAGCCAGCTCGATCAATGGTTCTCCTCACTTTGCCAAGTCCCAGTTTCCGCAAAATACACATTTACATGCGTAGGGTTTTGTCATGGCTTGCTCCCCATCCAGTGCTGCAGATAATCTCCTGAAAATGGAAAGCAGAGCATGGTAATTCAATTTTCTTCTGGTCCTCCTTGCACAGACTTCAGGAGAGAATCCTCCATCGTCGGCTCATTTCCTCGTCAAATCTGGTGGTGGCATGCGCGGGTGTACGACAAACTGCCGACGAGCATGTGAGGGGCTGCTGCATGCAGGGAAAGGGCAGAACCTTCTCTTCACCAACGGACTCAAACTGTCATTCTACCCCAACAATCACGAATAACACATAGCTCGCAATAATATTTTCTTTGGAAGCCTAGAAGAAGGCCAATTGCGACGAGAGGCAGCAGCAAGATCCACGGGCATCTTCGTGCGTTCATTCGCTGCCCTTACTCCCCCACCACCTGCTTTGAAGATGATGATGAAGGAGCCATCGCCACAAACAACATCAACAACAAAGCCTTGGAAACTTCACCGAATAATAGTCTCACAGACTTGCGAACTCACAAAATTGGTTGCCTTGCTTCCCACTAGCAAGCCCGAGCCCGAGCCTGCCTGATAACGCAGCGTAGATGCACATCATCTACGCCATCAGACATTATCCGTCCCCCTTCAAAATCAGCACGCAGTTTCAGCAGACCAGTCTGCGGCCTACCTCCCTGCCTGCCTGCCTCCCCTCCGCCACCACCGAACAAATCGAGAGAGAGGGACCCCAAAAGTCCAGTCTGTCCACTGCACTGCACAGCACAGCACTGCAGTCTAGCCCAGCCTCCTCCCTCGAACCGAACCAACCAACCAATCCAAGCGTCGGACCGACTCTTCCCTCTTTCCTTGGGAGATCCCCGACCAAAATTCGATGATTCTCTGAGTATTGTCGCCTTCACCCTGTTACTGAAGGCCCCGGACCGTCATCCAGGCATCAATATCCTCAATCAATCGGCAGCCTTTGACTCGTCGCTCCCAATCGATCACTCGGCAGAGTCGGTAGTCGGTCGAATCAATCGTAGGACAAAATGACAGGGATCGAGCGGGCGCTCCGTCCGTCCGTTTCTCTCTCTCCCCATCTCTCCCTCCTTCCCTTCCGTCCGTGCTTCCGTCTGCCACTCCCTTGCGCGCAAGCGAGCGAGCGAGCACTGCAACTCGCGATCGACCAGCAGCAGAACAGATGATGACAGCGCGACGACAGAGTGAGAGGAGAATGCGAGCAGATGACGAGGACGATTTCCTTGCCGCGCCTGCTGCTGCTGCTGCTTGAGCAGATGCAGCAGCTTGCCGCTGTTTCTTCCGAGCGGAAGACAGAGGGAGAGAGTGGGGGAGACAGAGTCGGCGACGAGGCTGGAGCTCCGCTCTGCTCTTCGCTCGCTCGCCCGCTCCAGAGGCGAATGGACCGTCTCCGGTTCCTTTTCTCCCCGCTCCTCCACCCCCTGTGCCCCACCATCCACTTCATCTCTCTCGCCGGTCTCCCCACCCTCCCCACCGGCGGCCACCGGTAGCCCGCCGCCCTGCGCCATTCCGCCCTTCCGGTCGATCGAAACCGGCGGGGCCCAGTCTCTCTCGGCGACCACCTATCATTGCAACATCCGGTGAGTGTGTCACATAGCGATGCGGCCAAATCGCTCCAACTCTGACCCCGCCGAAGAGAAATGCCATAGGTTGAAGGTCTACAGCTAACGGGGAATAACGGGGAATAAACGAAATGCGGTTGTGCGAGATATGGATGAAAAGGGATAGAAAACAGATGAACCGGGCAGGGCCTTTGGAAAAGCCTTTCTCGGGGATGAATGTTCTAAACAAACCCAACGAAGATGACCACCTACTAACCTGAGACAGAGTAACGTAATGCAAATGGCTCGCGAAGGAACGAAAACGAGTTCACGTTCTGTAGTGAAAGTGATTATATTATTATGTGGTCTCGCAAAGACGAACGATTTCCCGACATGCGAACGAGCGTTTCTGCAAGCTGAAAAGTGATCGTTAGAGTATTAAATGAATGAGGTCAATTCTGTGTAAACACACTTTGGCTCCAGACCATGAGAAATCCCCACCGCGAGCCCTATCTTCATCGGGGATTCTCAAATGCAATCGATTGTCGAGGTTGGTCGGAATGTTTCGACGGACGTTTGATGTCCGGAAAGTGGAGTTCCGTGTTTCGAACTTCGCCAATTTTGACTCACGCTTGTGTCGGCAAATTTGGCACGGAACTGACAAAGTGGGCGTTTCAAGTCAGCACGCAACTCCGGTCAATGCCCCGTCTCTTCCAGTCTTGGAAATTAAGTCTGCTCTTCCAACAGGGACCTAAGTACGAGTTCGTACCTCAAATCGGCTCGGACTTGGGCATGTCCTAGTCTTGCGGCACGCGAACGGGACTCCGACTCACGGGTTGTCGGTGATTCGCAGAAAAGTGACCCACCGAAAAGAGCGCAAATTTCCCCTGTTGTTCACCTCGCTTTTCGGGCATCGGCATAGGCTGTCCGGGGAGCAAACAACACTTCCACGGGAGATTTACCGGTTCCGAACGGTTTTAAGTCAATACCACCGCCTTCAACCCGAGCTGGACTGACGTGGCGGCCAAGAAGATAGAAGCGGATATCGTTGATGCCGTAAATTAGTAAAGGGATAGCCGAGGTGACAATGACGGTGATACGTGGCAGGATATCAAAGGCCGAAGGACCCTCTCTTTAACTCCGGCGTTGTTCGGTCGCTGGGCCCGCGACGCTATGCTTCGTTGCACGTGAAGCTGCTACGAGAACGGAGTAATTTGTCATGTCCTTCGAACTTCCAAGAAGATAATAACAAAGTTCTTTGGCAAGCCTTCTCTCCTCGTCCTTTCTTGAATTCCACAGGATGTTGGTCCAGAGAATTCGGAGTCGGGGAAAATCCATTCCCAGAATTGACCTCAAAGCGGTGGCCATCTGGTCGTGTTCCTAGGACAGTGTTAACAGTTCAAGCCAAAACATAACAGCAACGAGTGCGCCGCGAGCTTCTTCCTCGACCTGATTTGCGCTTGTTTTCGCTGGTCCAAGTGGGTTATTCAAGTCTGGAGGTTTTTTCATGATTCGGTTAAAATTGTTTCTATTGCACTGTGATAAGCACTGAGCAGACTCTGGTTGAATAGGGCATATGAAAGAATGCCCGCTGCGAAACCCGGTTGGATCTTTGACCTGCCAGTACAGTGAAGACGATGTTTCACGTATCATTTTAATATTATATCACATAGCAATCATGTTTCCTTCTCAATGTGCGAAGCTTATCACTAGACAGACCACGATGCGAGGACTTTTCAAGCTATCTTTCTCTTCATTCATCATTACAGTGCCAAAGAGACTATTCAAATATGCTCGTGTCTAACTGATTGTAGATGATTACACTGATATATCATTTCATCACATTTTAAGCGATCTGTCAGAAAGATGCTTGCCCTAACAACAGGAAACAACATGATCCGATTTTTATTCCTTAATATTCTGGAGGTATTCGATAAACGAGTCCGACAAAGAACGTGGATTTTTCAATTACTGTGTTTGTTAATTTTCTAAATAAATATAAACATGAACAGTTCAGATTACTAAGTCATTACAAATTTCGAGCAAATTGTGGTAATTGCGTAACGATGGAGAGCACCCTCTTAAGCAGACCGAAATGGGTATTTCAATAGCTGCTAACTGAAAGCAATTAAAATATTTTTTCTACAGCTAGAAAAACCGTGACCACATGTTTAAATGAGGTAGAAGGGTCGAGGAAAAGATTGGGTTCTCATGATGTACAATTGTCTAACACTGGATTCTATGGAACGAGCCTATCGTCACTGCTTACCAGACGAAACACACCTCTCACTGTTGACATTTGGAAGGCTGAGTCATTTCGTGCTAAATCCCATCCGTAACGCACAGAAAGATGCAGTGGTCTCAAGAGAAGAGATATAAACGTTTATATCTCATTGGAGATCTATTCGAGGACAAGTTTAGTTACTCACGTAATGACTGTCTACTCGATTAGGACCTCAAAGAAAAATTGGAGCTTATTTAATATTTCTTATGAGTCTCATATTTCTTATTTTCTTGAGTCCCTTTACTTATCAAACCACTTCTCTAGCTTCACGTCAAACCACCGCTCTTAACAAAATCTATGTTTTACGCGGAAAAAAGAGAACTCTGGCAAAGAGCTTGTTAAGCAAGTTCTTGACTTTTTTTTGTCTGGACCACTGCATCTGTCTGTACGTTACGGAGACTATACCAAATGTAGACATTCATTAATCTTCCATAAGAGAGGACATGCAACAAAGCCAAGTGATGTTAAAGTAAAGTTCCAGTACCCTCAAGTCCCTAGGCTGGTTTCAAGTCACTGCACTGTAGTACTCTCCAAGCGAAAAAATAAATCTCAATGCATATATTTAGACAGTTAGGTCTTGTACTCATTTTGCTTACTTGAGGCCATTGCTTGATAATGATAAATTGCTGGCACGTATTATGCATGATGAAACTGGGAACGATCCGTAATAATGTTGATATGTGATCCTAGAACTTACTGTGATGGAACAGAACTTGTTCATTTTTCTTCATACTGGAAATGGAAAATTTTGTAAACCTTTTTATTTTCTCTTGTTTGTTGGTGAGAAACAAAACGCAACGTGCAAGATGATTATCGCCTCGAGTCTACAAATAAAGATCAAAATTGAAAAATCTTGTACATCATCATACTACCTCAATCGAATACCTTCAGATCTGAATTTTGACAAAGGCTTTTTCGGTTATCTATGCATCCTCATCTTTTTGATGTGCCACATTATGTAACAACATTAAAAGTAGATAAACAAGAGAGTGTGTGGGAAGAGGTACAAACGGTAAGGTCATTGTAAGATGTAGCAGGCTTTGCACTCGAATTTATTTGGGACTGATAGGTCATGAAAAAATTTAGACAGAACTTAAATTCAGCTCCAAGCATTTCAGTTTGTGAAATCAAGCTTTAGATATTATAACTTATCTATAATATTTGTTCACATGCAATAACCTCACTTTCATGAAGCAAAGAATAAAATAATTGCTAAATTTATGTTGCATATGGTAATATAAACATATATAATATGGAAGATTCGATTATCAGAGACAGTAGTATAATTACTTTGCAAAGATTAAAAGTTTAACAAAAAATTCATCAAGTTGATGTCGATCACTCGTAGTTCTGATGAGACTATAGAAATCCAACTTGAACATGATATAAAATATTTATTATTACTTTCTTAAAAAAATCCAATAATCTAGTTCTTTTAGAAATAGAATAGTTTATAGACAAAACATGCACTTAGAAAATATATATATCTGCAAAGCTGTTCAAATTAGTATTATCATATTTTTTAATAAAAAAAATGACATGTAGATGAATTCATGTTTTTCACATAGTTTCATATTGAATATTATAAAAAACACATGCCAATATTATATGATCAGGTTGGAAGTTAAATATTTACCTTTAAACTTTTATATAAAAACTTATGATAACAATTCTAAGTAATAATCATAAACCATACCCAAAAAAGCTTATTGTGATAACTATTCTTATAACAAACTGAGATAATGGAATCTATAAATGATTTTTGTTATTTAAAAAATGAGATTAAATGTTATTAAAAAAATCTATAATTAAAAAAAATTATATACTAGGTCAAATATTTCTCTTATAGAATTAAGTTTTACTACATTCAAATATGACACATTTACTTTCCAAATTTTACTGGAAAAATATCAGAATTCAAATTTTAATATGTATTTGAGATTCTAATTATTTGAAATTGTGATTTATTTGAGATCTAATCACTTTGCCAAATGTACGTCTAAACTTTTATACTATAAACAGTAACTATTTTATAGATCATCTTGGGCATTGGAAAGTATTCAGGATTTGGATTTTTTTAGTTTGAGTATATATCTTTCCATGATTCTTATATACATAACATAAGGTAATTAGGTTTTCACAAAACTTCAAAAAAAATCATACCTTATGAATGATAGTTTGTTGAGGTATTTATCACAACCTATAGTGCTAGATTGTTGTGGAGTCAAAGATGGCTAAGCAATTTTAGCTGATTTTTAATCAAAGTCAAGTAGTGAAAGAGATTAAATCATTAAATAATCAACTTCTATCATATATTTGTGAAAATTTTTGTTGTTCTTCCTCAAGATTTAACGTCTATGTTAGGAAAAAGTAAAAAATGGAGATGAAAAATATCTTTAAAAGTGAAAATTTTAAATATTCAATAAATACATTTTGTTACATATACATAATTCAAATGGTATGATATTAATTGATGCATGAAATTGGCTATGACGCATTAGTTTTAATAGTGAGTAAATTATTTCAATAAGAATGCAAT